CAGAGTCCCAAGACAAGGGGAGAAAAATCCCATCCTCAGAAACAGACAGGTGGGATAACAAAAGCTGTCCTATCTGGAGTTCTTTTGCCCTGTGAGAAGTGGATCCCAGTTTTATGACTTTTGATCCTCTGAAGCCCATATGAACTTCATTATACAAAAGGACATAAGAGATTTAGACATGTTAGCATTACCAATCTGTACTGAAATCCACATTGTAGAAAAAACAGATATCAGCCGGGCGTTGGTGGGGCACGCCTTTAATCCCAGCACTCGGGAGGCAGAGGCAGGCGGATCTCTGTGAGTTTGAGACCAGCCTGGACTACCAAGTGAGTTCCAGGACAGCCTCCAAAGCCACAGAGAAACCCTGTCTCGAAAAACCAAAAAAAAAAAAAAAAAAAAAAGAAGAAAAAGAAAAAACAGATACCTTAGAGTCCTAGTGAAAACTGCAGGTTTAGGTTAGAAGCTTGCATATTTTTTTCTGTCTAGAGAGCCAGGTATAGATTGGATAGATGTGCCTTTGGCCTGATAAAAAGCCCTTAAGTTTATATTTAAATGACAACCAAAATACATCTAAAAAGTTGAGCTTGGTTAGTCATTGTTTTACTAGCTTATCAGAACTCTATAAAATGAGTTATTAAGTTGGTTATGGTCTAACTATTAATACCATCAGAGATCTGAGAAGAATAAATTTTATACAGTTTCCAATTCTATTTAAAATGACAGGGTCCATGGTGGTGGCACATGTCTTTAATCCCAGCACTCAGGAGGCAGAGGCAGGCAGATCTCTATGAGTTCTACCAAGTGAGTTCCAGGACAGCCTCCAAAACAATATGGAGAAACCCTGTCTCCAAAAAACAAAAAACAAAATGGCAGTTTCCAAATCTATTAAAAATGATAGGGTGCAGTTCATATACAGTTAGTGAAGAGCCCTAACAATTAGCCCCCTAATAGTTGGAAAATTACTAAGCTGTCCCGTCCTTGGACCTGAGCAGCTACACTTAAACATCTTTCCCTGGTGGTCCTCAAGGACTTGAAAATATATCCCAGACCTCAGTCCTCAAGGACTTGGAAACACTCCCCAGACCTCAAGGTTCCAGGTCAGTCACAAAGTTCAGCCAGGGCACAGACATTGCCTAAGACAGATAACAAGCCAGACAGCCACAAGCGTGCGTGTTTGCATGAAGGTCTGGCACCGATTACCAAACACCCCTTGTACCCCACTACCCTGTTTGCGGTTTTAGGCTTTAAAAACTTGCTGTAGGGGGCTGGAGAGATGGCTCAGAGGTTAAGAGCACTGACTGCTCTTCCACAGGTCCTGTGTTCAATTCCCAGCAACCACATGGTGGCTCACAGCCATCTATAATGAGATCTGGCACCCTCTTCTGGAGTACAGACAGACATGGAGGCAGGCTGTTGTGTTCATAATAAATAAACAAATCTTTAAAAAAAAAAGAAAAGAAAAAACCCTTTAAAAAAAAACTTGCTGTAATTTCTGCTCGGGGTTCACTCCTTCCCATGGCTGCTGAACCCCGAAGCGCCAGCTTAATAAAAACTGTCTTGCGTTTTGCAGCGAGCTTCGGCTCCCTGGTGATCTTTGGGGCGAGGGTCCTGAGAGAAAGACCGAAGGGTCTTTCATTAGCTATACCCAAGTCTCCATTAGCAGGCAGAAGTATCAAAGAATAGCATTAATCTTTGCCAGTCCTATAAAATGAGAAGGTTTTTTTCTCTCCGTGGAAGAGGGACATGGAAAAGACTGACCTTATTTTGTCTAGGTAAAAGAGGTACAATCTCCCAGCACGTGGGAGGCAGAGGCAGGTGGATCTCTGTGAGTTCTAGACTAGCCTGCTCTACAAGACCTAGTTCCAGGACAACCTCCAAAGCCACAAAGAAACCCTGTCTCGAAAAAAAAACAAAAACAAAAACAAAAACCAACAACAAAAAAAATTGTTAGTGACAAGAATGTAGATCTGCTACAGATGGAACAGGGAGGATTTTGTGTGAAATGTGTGCCCTACTGGGCCCTGGAAAGGCAGGACATTCTACAAACAAGCCATGTGTTACAGCGCCAGTAAAATAAGAAAGCTGTCAGCAATAATAATAATAAAAGGCAGAAAGGTATATGAATTATTTCTGGCAGCACAGTTTGTTGGCAGAAGCTGGCTAGATTGTCCTTCTGCCAGACTGAGGGAAGGGGGTAACTCCTAGCAAAAATAAAATACCCTTTATGCCTTTAAAACCACTATCATCTGGGTGATTGTTAAATTACAAAGTTTATATAATTTTTTAGCATAGAAAATCCTAATTAAGCTGGGCATTGATGACGCACGCCTTTAATCCCAGCACTCGGGAGGCAGAGGCAGGTGGATCTCTGTGAGTTCGAGGCCAGCCTGGTCTACAGAGCCGATTCCAGGACAGCCTCCAAAACAATACAGAGAAACCCTGTCTGGAAAAACCAAAAAAAAAAAAAAAAAAAAAAAAAAGAAAAAAGAAAGAAAACCCTAATTAAGAGAGTAGATTTTATTGTCCCTAAAAGGGGGGAAGGCACAAGTCAGAAATAGGAGTCTCTTGCTCTACCGACTGAGATATAGTCCCAACCCCACATCTCTTTGTCATGATTAGCCGTGCCTGAAGGGCTGGTAAGTGTACTTTTTTTTTTTTTGGCACAAGTTATGTGAAAAAGTTAAGCCATCACACTTTTAATAGAGGACTTATATAAAACTCAACAGTGACATAAACAAATGATCTCAGTAGAAAACGAGCAAAACCCATGGACAGACATTGGATTACCAAGGACACACAGATGACAAATGACTAGCGCCCAAAAGGAAGGTTAATAGCCTACTGACCCATTAAAACCTGTACCGGGGCTGTCATGGCTGCTAAAGCAGGGGACTGAGTGAGGATCTGGTTCCTTCTGGTTTCTCTGTGTAGTCCTGGCTGTATTGAGTCTCACTCTGTAGACCAGGCTGGCCTCAGACTCAGAAATCCGCCTGCCTCCACCTCCCAAGTGCTGGGATTAAAGGTGTGAGCCACCACCGTCCTTTTATTTATTTTTTAACACATGTTGTAGCCCCAAGGTGGTGGTGCAGGCCTTTAACCCCAGCAGCACTGGAGAGGAAAAAGGCAGATGGATCTCTGTGCGTTGGAGGTCAGCCCAGTCTACAGAGTGAATTCCAGGACAGCCGGGACAATTTCACAGAGAAAACCTGCCTCAAACAACAACAAGTATTGTAAATTGATGTGTACCACAGCATACATGTCAAAAGGTAACTTGTGGGAATTGATTTTTTTTCCTTCTACCATGTGGGTTCCAGGAATTGAACTGAAGTTGTTAGGCTTGGCAACCAGTTTCTTGGCCCTCTCAGGCAATTATTAACTGTTTTGGAATCGGTGTCTGAGTGCCACTGAAGAGTAGGGACAGGAGAAAGCTGTGCTGAAGGTAACAGGAAAAAGAAGCCATTCCTGGGTGACATGCAATGAAGAAAGGATGCTCAAAGCCCCACACATGGGAGAAGTATGTAAATTATGTATAAACAGCGGTTATGGTACACGACTGGGCTAATTTCTAACGTGTGTCCCTGGTTCAGCTCTTTGTCCTTGGTCACAAGAGCCTCTGGGTCCTCCAGTGAGTGCCTGCTCCCTCACCCCCCACTCCCTCACCCCCCACTTCCTCTCCTCCACACTGATTCCCTGTCAGACCCGTGCCTGTACCATTGGGCTTATTTCCAGTTCAGAGACTGGATGTTTCGTTACTGATCCACCAAAGATCACTGCCTTCTCATCATTCCAGTCTGTACTTTGGGCTGACTAGGTTGTTCGTTTTGTTTGTTTGTTTTTCGACTTGACACAAACTGGGTCATCGGGGAAGAGAACCTCACTTAAGAAAATGTCTCTAAACGGGGAACCTGCATACGACTAAACTAGACTCCCTTAATATAGGTGACAATGGTGTGACAGGGACAGTACATGAGGCCACTGGCAGTGGGTCCAAGATCTAACACTAATGCACAAACTGACTTAGTGGAGCCCATTCTATATGGAGAGATACCTTGCCCAGCCTAGACACAGGGGGTGGGGGTGGAGAGGTGCCTTGGTCCTGCCTCAACCAGATGATGGGACAGACTTAGTAGACTTCCTACGGGAGGCCATACCCTTTCCATGGGGCAAATGGGAGGGGGCATAGGGGAGTGGAAGGAGAGGAGGGAGGGGGAACTGGGATTGGAAAGTAAAAACAAAACAAAACAAAACAAAAAGCCGAGAAAGTCTGAGGAGCAGGAGTGAGAGGAGATTGAACAGAAGGATAATTTGCTTATGTTGATATAGACACTCTATTGACTATCTTCATTCATAGGAGAAGAAAATAAACTGTACTATAAAAAGAAAAGAAAATGTCTCTATCAGACTGAACTGTTGGCAAGTCTGTCTGTGTGCCAGTCTGGAACTACATAGTGAGTTCCAGGGCAGTCAGAGCTATGTAGAGAAACCCTATCTCAAAAACAAACAAACAAACAAATAAAATATCTCTTACTTGGAAAGGCTCTGGATTCTATAGATTAAGACAGAAATCCTGACCCCATAGAGTCATTTTTCCTCAAAGAGATCTCAAGGCTCACTCCCTTCCCATTGTTTTGACCCTCAAGTAACCAAGTCACTGATTCTTTTTTTTTTTCCTAAGACAGTATCTTGCTATGTAACCCTGACTAGTCACAGACTCACTATGTAAACCTGCTGACCTTCAGCTCAGACCACTCCTGCCTCAGGCTCTCCGTCCTGTGATTACAGGCATGGACTCCTACACCTGGCCCGTTAACAGCAGATATAAAAGTCATCTTCCCAGTTCCAACTCAATTTTATTAACCCCAAGTCAAACATTCATTTTTTTGCCAGCTGTAGTTTTAGTGGGGAAGTTCACGGGTTAAGTAATGCTTTCAGTGCTGTCTCTCCAAGTTCACCATGGATCCAGACAAAGTACAGTCTTCACTAGAATAAAAGCGGTTTCAGTGCTGTCTCTCCAAGTTCACCATGGATCCAGAAAAAGTACAGTCTTCACTAGAATAAAAGCAGATGATCTACAAAGAGTTAACGGCTCACCGGCCTGGATTAGTGTCTCCTTGGGCTGGCAGGAGGACAAGAGGATTGGAAGCAGGAGTATTAGACACAGCAGGAAATCCAGAGAAAAGAACTGCACGGAACTCTCTGGAAGAAGCCAAGATTGTAAGTTTATAGCTAATGCATATTTATAATCTTTCATCTTTTACCCTGGATACTTTTGTTTTGGTTTGGCTTTTTAAGACAGGGTTTCTTTGTTTGTTTGTTTTATGTTTTTTTCCAGACAGGGTTTCTCTGTATTGCTTTGGAGGCTGTCCTGGAACTCGCTCTGTAGACCAGATCCACCTGCCTCTACCTTCCAAGTGCTGGGATTAAAGGCGTACACTACCACTGCCCAGCATCCTGGATAGCTTTGAGAAGAGCAAAATAAGTATTCATTTTCTATCTTTTCACCGAGGCATCATTAACCCTGTTACTTTCTCAGGTCTGTTCCATATCCAAGCGCTTCGGTGGGTGATGATTCATGACACTCTTCTGTCCCCAGACCTCCCCCCTCCCAGCATTTTGCTGAGCAAGGACAATGTCTTCCCGGCTCCTTCTCTCTTCCATACTCATCATTTGTTTGTTTTCACTCTTTGAGATGTCTTGCTCTGCATCCCAGGCTAGCCTGAACTTTACTATGTAGACCAAGCTAACCAAGAGTTTGTGGCTATCCTCCTTTCTGGCTCCCCAGTCCTGGCTTTACAGGCTTGTACTGGCATACCCAGGCTTCCCTCCACGATACCCAACTAACTAGTAATGGCAGATTTTCACAAAATGTCACATTTTAACCTCTATTGCTCTTTTATTCAAAGGTGAGGGCTTCCTGAATTCTTTTGTTGTCAGGTTTTTGGTTTTTTTTTTAAGATTTATTTGTTGTGTATTTAGTATTCTGTCTGCACATAAGCTTGCAGGTCAGAAGAGAGCACCAGATCTCATTTCAGATGGCTGGGAGCCACCATGTGGCTGCTGGGAATTGAACTCGGAACCTCTCGGAGAGCAGCGAGTGCTCTTAACCTCTGAGCTATCTCTCCAGCCCATGTTATCAGGGTTTTATTTATTATTTATTCATTCATTCATTTATTTATTTTGTGTTTTTTCGAGACAGGATTTCTCTGTATTGCTTTGGAGTCTGTCCTGGAACTCACTGGACCATGCTGACTTTGAATTCACCTGCCCCTGCCTCCTGAGTGCTGGGATTAAAGGTGTGTGTCACCAATGCCCGGCCTTGTTTTTTTTTTTAGACAGGGTCTCTCTAAATAGCTCTGACTATCTGGGACTGGTTACAAACTCAGAAATCTGCTTCAGTTTCCCTGTGCTGGGATTAAAGGCATATGCCACTCTACTCTGCTAAATTATCATTTTGTTGTTGTTGTTTTTGGTTTTTTGAGACAGGGTTTCTTTGTGTAGCTTTGGAGCCTGTCCTGGAACTCACTTTGTAGACCAGGCTAGCCTTGAACTCACAGAGTTCTGTCTGACTCTGACTCCCAAGTGCTGGGATTAAAGGCGTGCACTACCATGCCCAGCTAATTTATCATTGTTCAGCCTCAAACTTATTGTCCTCCTGCCTCTAATAAGCATGATGGAAGCCTCTTTCTAAATGCCCTCCAACCCTAAGCACGGCAGCCATCTCCATTCTTGCATTCCCAAAGGTGCACTCACCCAGGGCATAGACAGACCATATTTAACACATATGATAGATATCTGGGCATGTTGGTGCAAGCCTTTAATCCCAGCACTCCAGAGACAAAGATAGATGATTACCAGGCCTGGCTGGTCTGCATAGAAAATTCTAGGCCAGGTAGGGATATATAATGAGACCCTGTCTCAAAAACCCAAATACAGTTTAAAAACAAGAGGAATAGGAAAAAGTCAAGAGTTTTGACTGGGCCCTTCATGGCATCTTCTCTCTTTCATTTATTTGGCATATGCTTTTTGGGTTCCTATTTTTTTCTAGGAACCATTTCAGGAGCTATACAGGATATGCAAACGTAACAAGTTACACTGATTCTCTTCCTTCAAAATCCTTATATCTTAGATGGGGGACAGACAATAACAAAGTACAAATAAGCCGGGCGGTGGTGGCACACGCCTTTAATCCCAGCACTCGGGAGGCAGAGGCAGGTGGATCTCTGTGAGTTCGAGACCAGCCTGGACTACCAAGCGAGTTCCAGGACAGCCTCCAAAGCCACAGAGAAACTCTGTCTCGGAAAAACCAAAAAAAAAAAAAAAATCGTAATAATAGTAAAGGAGCAAGAGAAAAAGCAGTGAAATGAAGTTCCAGAGCCATTGAGAGCTGCAGGAGAGTGATGACTGGAGCCACAGAGAGGACAGAAGCCCATTGTGAGCTGAACTCAGGAAGCGCAGAGCCCGACCGGGGGAGTATGAGAACGGCACCCCGTTGCACAAAGTCTCATGGGCTTTGACAGAGAGTTTAGATTTCATGCCAAGGTACTGAAAACCCCCTGGGAATTTTTAAGCATTGCATTATACACGTGGGTTACTTGACAAAGTCGCTCTGAATGCTTTAGGGAGAACTGACGGAGGTTAGAGAGGGAAAACGGAGAGCTTTAGAGCAGTCGAGGAAAGACACACAGATGCCTGAGTTAACACTGTTGGAGAGTGTGAGCTATTACTTGAGGAAGAAACCAGAAGACATGCTACTGGATGAGGGAAAGAGGTAGCAAGGCTTTGGGACTGCTAAGATGCCAGCACCACACACAGAGACAGAAATAGAGATCTGAGAAATGAGAGTTCTGCTTCACAGGTTGAGTTGGAGATATCTAGGAATCATGCAAGTTAAGTTGCTTAAAAGACATCAAGTGGGCTGGAGAGATGGCTCAGAGGTTAAGAGCACTGGCTGCTCTTCTGGAGGTCCTGAATTCCATTCCCAGCAACCACATAGTGGCTTACAACCATCTGTAATGAAATCTGGTGCCCTCTTCTGGCCTGCAGGCATACATGAAGTTCTGTATACATAATAAATAAATAAAATCTTTTTTTTAAAAGACATCATGTGAGGGTTGAGGCTGGAGACTCTCTCCAGACCCTTTTTTCCCCTGAGACAGGGTTCCTTTGTATAGTGGTCCTGGCTGTCCTGGAATTGCTTTGTACACCAGGCTGGCCTCGAACTCACAGATCTGCCTGCCTCTGCCTCCCAAGTGCTGAGATTAGAGGTGTGCTCCATTACCCCATCTGGGTTTTTAAAAATTATATACATATATATACATATATAATTATATACATATATATACATATATAATTATTCTGCCTATGTCTGTCTGCATACCAGAAGAGGGCACCAGATCTCATTATAGATGTATTTGCTGGGAATTGAACTCAGGTCCTTTGGAAGAACAGCCTGTGCTTTTAACCTCTGAATCATCTCTCTAGACCCTCTGTTTTTCTTTTTTTAACAATGCCTTGCTTAGTAGCCAAGACAGGCTTTGAATCTTCCTGCCTTGGTCTCTTAAGTGATGGGATTACAGGAATATACCACCATACCTCACTTAATTTAACTTTCTTTGCCTTTTTCCATCTCTCCAGGAGATAGTAGATGACTGATTTAACTTTGGTCAGTATTCTGTATATGGTCCCATCACAGTAACTAAGGGGACTAGGTCATAGAATATTAACTGGTAAGAGTCAGCCCCTAGCTGGGCGTTGGTGGCTCAAGCCTTTAATCCCAGCACTCGGGAGGCAGAGGCTGGAAGATCTCTGTGAGTTCCAGGCCAGCCTGGTCTACAGAGGGAATTCCAGGACAGCTTCCAAGACAATACAGAGAAACCCTGTCTCGAAACCCCCCCCCCAAAAAGGGTAAGTATCAATCCTATAATCAGAAAATTAATTTTATTTTGAATAAATAATATCATATTACTGAGTGCATGGCTTTAGAGTTGTGCACACCATCACCACCACAAATATAAGTAGGATGTGTACTATCACAAAACTACTGGGAAATCCCTACTACAATTTAGGGAGAGCCTGCAGAAGACAATCTAAAGTTATAACTTCATAAAGACTTTTCCTTTATTTAGTGTCTTCTAGGATCTCATACAGCCTGATAACTGAGATGATGATACATCTACTGGACCACGTACCAGAGGATCTGCCAGTTAGAGACACAGATGACTCAACTCATCTGTTGGAAGGTAGGTATCGCCTAGATGTGGATGTTCTTCACTGAGTGTCACGGTGGGACAGCCCTGACAGTCTTCACAATGGCCATTTTCTTCTAGCCCTTTTCTTAAAAATCTCTTTTTATTTAAATATTTATTTATTTATTTAACTGTATGGGTAGGTACATGTGCATGTACCTGAGTGTATGTGTCCATTACCAGCTGGTAAACAATTTCTGTTGGGGAAGTCCTGTGTATATGTCAATAAATTACTGCTGGCCAATAGGAATCTAGATAGGTGGGGCTAGGAATCCAGGAGGATTCTGGGAAGGAGAAACACTGGAGAGTCGAGATGTAACGCCATTGGGGTAGGAAGCCCGGAAACCTCTCCGGTAAGAGACATACTTAGATTAACAATTATGGGGTAATTACTTAAGTCAGAGCTAGCCAGTAAGAAACAAGCAAGGCCAACAGATTTATAATTAATACAGCGTCTTGTGTGTTATTTGGGGACTACAATGTGGCAGAGCCCAGGCGACTGGCGGGTGATAAACCAAAGCGGCTAGCAAAGAAAAAGCTTCTCTTAACAATTTCACTCACCGCCCCACGTGGGGAGTGTTTCTGCTCACTAAGATGAAAGGGCTTGGCCATACTCAAACTCAAGCTCCCTCTGCTGGGGGGCGAGGGCGGGGGGGAAGCTTCTGGTTTCTACATTTGTATAGGGAGCTCTTCTCAAGCACGCTCTTTGTTGTAGGTAGCCCCCCCCCCCCGGGAGAGGGCTTCCAGTCTCTGTCCACTAGTTTGTTTTATATGTTAATCTAGTTATTCATTTAGTTTTTGAGAAAAGGTCTCACTGTATCACCATGGCTGGCATAACCTAGAACTCACAGAAATCTGTCGGCTTGTGTTGAGATTAAAGACATACCTCCTCCCCCAACGCCCCACCAGGGGGTCACCACACCTTTTTTTTTTTTAAAGATTTATTTACTTATTATGCATACAGTATTCAGCCTGCTTGTATATCTGCAGGCCAGAAGAAGGCACAAGATCTCATCATAGGTGGCTGTGAGCCACCATGTGGTTGCTGGGAATTGAACTCAGGACCTTTGGAAGAGCAGTCAGTGCTCTTAAGCTCTGAGCCATCTCTCCAGCCTCACCACACCTTCTTGATGTCGTTTTTCTTTTTAAAGTTTCTGTTCTTTTGCTACATCAGTACTTTAGAGTCAGAGACAAGAATTACAAGGTCAGGGCTAGCTTGTGTTACAGAGTGAGACCTTATCTCAAAAAACAATAAACAGGGCCAGGGAGATCTCAGCAGACAAAGGCACTTGCCGCAAAGTTTCACTGCCCAGCAAGGGTTGTGGTAACAGAACTTAGGTCCTCTGCAAGAGCAGTAGAACTTAGGTCCTTTGCAAGACCAGTAAGTGCTATTAAATCCTGGGCCATCCTTTCTGTGTGCATCCCTCCACCATTTTAAAGGACATACAGCTATATATCTAGATCTATGTGTTTGGTTTTTCAAGATAGAATTTCTCTGTGTATCCCTGGCTGTCCTGGAACTCACTCTGTAGACCAGGTTGTCTTCAAACTCACAGAGATCCACCTGCCTCTGCCTCTCAAATGCTAAAATTAAAGACATACACCACCACTTCCAGGTAGCCTATAGTTCTCTCTCTCTCTCTCTCTCTCTCTCTCTCTCTCTCTCTCTCTCTCTCTCTGTCTAGACAGGGTTTCTTTGTGCAACAGCCCCTGCTGTCCTGGAATTCATTCTGTAGACAAAGCTGGCCTTGAGCTCGCAAAAATCTGCCTGCCTCTGCCTCCAATGCCCAGCAAGACTTTTTAAAAATATTTATTTATTTTTATGCGCATTGGTGTTTTGCCTGCATGTATGTCTACGTGAGGGTCTCAGGTCCCCTGGAACTGGATGGAGTTACAGACAGGTCTGAGCTGCCATGTAAGTGCTGGGAACTGAACCTGGGTCCTCTGGAAGAGCAGCTAGTGCTTTTAACTCCAGAACCATTTTTCCAGCCCCCACTCGTCAAGACTCTTAAAAAATTAACAGATAAATAAAGGTCCAGGCTGTCATGGTATACACCTTTATTCCCAGCACTCAGGAGGCAGAGGTAGGTGGATCTCTGAGATCAAGGCCAGCCTTGTCTATAGATCAAGTTCCAGGACAGACAGACCTACACAGAAAAATCCTCTATAGTACCATAGCACTATGGGTACATAGATCTCTCCCTATATTAGATCTCTCCTTACAAAACCCTATCTGGAAAAACAAACAAAATAAAATAGAATAAAGAAAAACAAGACAACATGTAAAATATTCTCCAACCACTCTCTTTGGGGCCTTCAGGTAAGAGTGTGACGGCTGAGGCACAGGTGGACAGGATGAGCCAGAAGGAACCAAACTACAGACTCTTTCATCTTCACGAGGAGCCCACATTGGTGAAGGAGCTTTCTCCGAAGCAACACGATAGAAGCAAAAGGTACCCAGAGTTCTTACACTGTGTCTGCAGCAGATTGACTCCATACGAAACCGAAAGGATTGCATTTTCCTCGGATGTCTGTACCAAAAATGACTCAAACATCAAGGATGCCGGGTTCAAAAATGTTTTTGCAAACAGTATTGTTTTATTGTTTTTCTACCACACACCTCATAATTTAAGACACTACAAAGCAGTCCAAGCAATCTGGTGATGGCATATCAATGCCCAGAGGAGAGGCTGGGCAGGTTCCTGTCTAGCTGAAGGGGAGGAGGTGGAGACAGGGTTAAAGGCAAAATCTTGGCAGAACAAGGGGGTTAGAGGCATGACAAGGAAGTTTTCTTCTGAAAAGTAAAGATCAATTGACTCTTCACTGCATGCGGGCATCGTGTGTGTTCTGGACACACGTGAACTGAATTGCTGCTATTAAATGTGTTGACTTGTTTTACTAGTGTGTCTTAGTTAAGGTTTCTGCATCACAACTTGACCATGGCAACTCTTATAGAGGGAAACATTTAATTGGGGTGGCTTACATTTCCAGTCTATTATCATCATGGTAGAACATGTGGAATGCAGGCAGACACAGTGCTGGAGAGGCAGCTGAGAGGTCTACATTTTGTACAGGCAACAGGAAGTGGTCTGTCTCACAGGGCATGGCTTGAGCACATATGAGACCTCAAAGCCCGCCCCCACAGTGACACACTTCCTCCAACAAGGCCACACCTCCCACTCATGCCACTCCCTTTGGAGGCCATTTTTTTTTTCAAACCATGACATCGTGTAAAGGCAGGGTATTATTAGGACAAAGAAACCTGAAGTACCTACACAACTTGCCCATGATCACATCTAGTAAGTGGCAGAGCTAAAGCCCTTAACTCCAAAATGTTGCATAACTTAGGCTATGCCCTTTCAGTGGTGGATTTCTGGATACAGCTAGGCAGGAATCTGAGAGAGAGGTGCGGGAGACACACGTGTAGAAGGGTGGGAAATCTGAAGTCCATCTTTAAGACACTTTGAAGTGACACACTGGTGTCAGAGCCGTCTAGCCAAGACCAACATTAGTGACATAGTGTAGTTGGTTTTGTTGCTGTTGTTGGTCTGACTGGCCTGAAACTTGGAGCAGTGCCCCTGCCTCTTCACCCAAGGCCGGGATTACAGGCAGACACCACACTCCGGTCATTTGTTAATATTTCCTTAACAACTATGGGGCCTGGCAGCAGTTAAATCCAGTGTTGGGATTACAGGCCTGTATCACTAAAGCCTGAGTCAGAAATTAATCTTTTGGGGGGGAGGTGGTGAAACAGGATTTCTCTGTGTAACAGCCCTAGCTGTCCTGGAACTTGCTTTGCAGATCTGGCTGGCTTTGGACTCACCTACCTCTGCCTTCAGAGCAGTGCTGGGACTAAAGGTGTGCCCCCAACCTCTCTCAAGGAGGGGAGGTCTTTTATTGTGAATAAGAGCAAGCACATGAGTCTTAGAGCAGAGAGAAGAAGAAGAATGGACATGCTCAGTGCTGTCTTGTAGAGAAGCGAGAGAGCTCAGAGTGATCATTCCAATTGTAAAAAGGAGGGGCAGCTGTAGGGGGAGGAGTCCATCAGCTGGAGCAGGCTTGGGGGCTGGGGGGGGTGGGGAGGGCAGGATGCTAGCTAGGTGCAGAGACTTTGAAATGTTATAACAAGTACTGAGCGAGCTTCCAGGCTTTGATAGGCAATGTTAGGTGTATGTCAGTGAAGAGCCATGTGTCCCTTCTGCCAGAGAGGCGAATGACTCCTTTCAGCAGATGGGAATGAGTTTCGTAAGTTCCTGAGGAAGGAGTGCCGGCTTTTATCTAACTACCACGAATCCTTTTACAGCCCAGCTTGAACTGAGCCAAGACTGTCATATCTGGACATATGGACTGCCTGAGACCTAACAATTGTGTAGAAGTAAAATCTTTACTTATATTTATTATGCCTCTTAACTTTTTTTTGGTTTTTGTTTGTTTGTTTGCTTCCCAAGTGCTGGAATTAAAAGCATGCACCACCACCGACCGGCTAAAATTTGTTCGTATTTTTATCAGGCATCATAGGTACATGCCTGGTAAAAATAATAATAATCCCAGCACTGGGAAGCAGAGGCAGGTGGATCTCTGAGTTCCAGGCCAGCGTGGTCTACAGAGAAAGTTTCAGTGACTGATCGGGGAGGGCCCAGCCCATTTTAGGTGATGCCGTTTCTGGCCTTGGTGGTCCTGGGTTCTATAAAAAAAGAAAAACAGCAGACTTCCAGGCGGTGGTGGCGCACGCCTTTAATCCCAGCACTTGGGAGGCAGAGGCAGGCGGATCTCTGTGAGTTCCAGGCCAGCCTGGTCTACAGAGCGAGTTCCAAGACAGCCTCCAAAACAATACAGAGAAACCCTGTCTGGAAAAACAAAACTAAACAAGAAAACAGGCGGAGCAAGCCAGGAAGCAGCATGCCTCCACAGCCTCTACATCTGCTCCGGCCTGCAGGATCCAGCCATTTGTGAATTCTTACCCTTACTTCCTACAGTGATGGACTACAATACAAATAAGCCTTTTCCTCCCCAAACTGTTTTCTGTTAATGGTGTTTCATCCAAGCAATAGTTAACCCTAAGACACCAAAGCCGGAGCTAGCTCTGAGGCTTGCCCAGCTAGAATCAAGCCCCTGATTTGAACCTCAGCCTGGGTAGGTGGGTTGGTGGACGCTGAAACCCACGTGGTGTGTTTTGCCATAGGCGGAGGAATACTGTGCAGCAATCCACCACTACCCAACCGGACCTGCGGGCACCTGTTGGCCTCCGGGAGCCTGCGAGGCAGCCCCGCTCCTCGGCAGCCCCGCGCCCCTCTGTTCCCAGGAAAAAAGCGCATCTACAGCGCGGGTGTCCCTCCAGCGCGGTAGGCGGTGCGCAGCCTCGAGCCCACGCGCGACGACGACTGTCCCACACACCTGGTGTGTAACTGCAGCGGAAAACCAAGCAGAGTGAGGCTGGAACTACTACGCCTCATGAGGAGCGTGTTCACTCCCTGCTTATTCTTTTTTGTTTGGTTCAACCTCCCTCTCCCCCCAGGACTTTTCTATGTAGCCTTGCCTGCCCTGGAACTCACTCTGTAGACCAGGCTGGCCCCGACTCAGAGATCCGCCTGCCTCTGCCTCTGGAATGCTAGGACTAAAGACGTGTGCCCTGAACACTTGCATTCTCTGCTCTTTCTGCCTTTCTAAAAGCCTGACCCCCGGCCCCCCAAGAAAACCCCAAAACAAACACAAACCAAACAAACCAAAAAACGGAGCTAAACAAAACCAAGGGAGAGAGATGAAGAAAGGGTAACAGTGGTAAGGAATCAGAAGGGAAGATTATCTGGGGGAAGGAAGGGAACCCACCAAGAAAGGGGTGGGGGAGACCGAGGAGATACAAAGCGGTGGTACGCATGTGCAACTGCAGAGACACTCATCATTGTGCGTGTTACTCTAATCAAAAATTAAACATTAAAAATAATCGAGACTGCCAGGCACATTGATCTGTTCTTTAATCCCAATGCTCCCGAGGCAGAGGCAGGAGGATCTCTGTGAGTTCCAGGCCAGCCTGGACTACAGAGCGAGTTCCAGGACAGCCAGGACTGTTCCACAGAGAAACCCTGTCTCGAAAAACCAAAAAAAAAAAAAAGAAAGAAATCAACAGCTGTTTTCGATAATCCCCACCCCCCTATCCAGAGTTAAGAGGCTGCAGGATCTCTGATAATTTGGGTCATCCTGTCCTACGTAGCAAGTTCCAATCCAGCCAAGAGTCCGTAGTGAGACCCCAGTCTCAAGAAATAAAACAAAGATCAACAACTCAGTTTCCAAAGGACTCTGCCAGAGACAAGCTGAGTTCTGCTGGTGGAGCCCACAGCAGTCTAGGGATTCTGCTTAGGTGTGTGAGGGTTGGAGAGCCAGGCATGTGGCTGGGAAGCCAGGGCTTGCAGGAGGACACTGGGCCTCCGTGCTTTGATTTTGGAAAAGAGGACTCCTTTGAATCCATGGCCTTGTTTAAGGCCCTTCTCCCAAGAAAACTTGGCATACACAAATTCCACACAATTCTGTAGGCACAGCATTTCTCAGAGTACAGACGGCCCTGGCTGAGGTCTAGAAGTCAGATGGCAAATGTTCAACGTGGATTATACTTTGTCTTCATGGACTCCAACTGGCTGAGTCTGAGGTCTACCTTGAACCTCAACAGCAGCTTCCAGAAGACAGCTAAGTCTCCAGAAGGACCTAAGTTAGGAGAGCCTGGGTAAAGAAAGGCTACAAACAGCATTTTATTTAAATGCTCTCATTTTATTGCTAAATGTTCGTTTGGGTTTTTTGGGTTTGTTTTTTCAAGGCTAGATTTTTCTGTGTAGCCCTGGCTGTCCTGGCACTCACTCTGTAGACCAGGCTGCCCTTGAACTCAGAGGTCTGCCTGCCTCTGTCTCCCGAGTGCGGGAACTAAAGTTGTTTGCCACCACTGCCCCGAAATACTCAATTGTTTTGTGTAGTGTGGTTCTAGACTTTCAAGTCCTGTATTCCAGATACGGATCATTTGCCGAAAAACAGCTGAAAAAAATAGCCTAAATTTTAGTCCTCAGCCAGCCATCTCATTTGTCATCATAGAACTCAGGAGGCTGAGAAAGGATTGCTACCCAGTTGCAGGCTGATCTGGACTTCAGAGTGAGACCTTGAATTAAAAAAAAATGTCTGGGAGTGGTGGAGCAATGCCTTTAATCCCAGCACTTGTAGGACAGCCAGGGCTATACCCAGAAACCAAAACAAACACAATGAAATAAATAAGTACATTCAAGCATGCCTGAGTATCTGTTATGGACCAGGTTAGGGATGATCGCGCAGGCCCTGACTTGGACCAGCTTGACTCTTTCTTCTTTCCTCCGACTTTTACCCACTCACTTAAGATATTTGCAGTTGTGGTTTTAAGGATGGAAGCACCTTGTTGCTAATTGTCACATAAGGATCTCCCCCCAGGTCTCAAGACTCACAGAGGCCAACACTTGATGTTCAGGTTTTGGTATAAGGTGTTCTGGAAGGTACCGTGGCTACATCTCACATCTTTCTCTGCCTGAACCTTCAGGGCCAAAGGACAGACACGGCTATACAGCGCTTCCCACATTCAAGGGCTATGCGGTGGATGAAAACAACAGAATAGACATAAACAGTGAATGCAGCCAACTGTGAGTTCCTCTTGTGAGTCCCATGCTGTTACCCGGAAAACTCTAGCTGGAAATATATCATCTAAGGATCAGTGAGTGTGGCTGATTTCCAGGGTAATCAGAGAAAACAAACGGTAGCTGTAAACCAAATTTCAACTTCTTCGTTTAAAAATACAACACATGAGTCAAGAGGGTAAGTATTCCCTTAGTGCCGGCATACCTTCACAGAGACAGGTGGAGCTCTGTGAGTTCTGGGACAGCCTGGTCTATACAGTGAGGCCCTGTCAAAATTTACATTTATAGTCATATTTATATTTTGGTTTTTTTTTTTGTATTTATGCTTGTAAAGCAAGCATTTTTCTGTCTTCCGAGGAAAGAATAAAAGCCCCTTTCATAATGTTAATCCTGAAATTCGCCAGAAAAACTAGTTCCATCATTTTGGCTAAATTTAAGCAAGCCCTTATTAGAATTTTAAATACTGACCAAGGTGGAATTTGGTCAGGACCATCATCTGGAAACTTTCCAGGTTAGTGGCCCCAAGACACATGTTGACTGGGTTTATATGGACAAAACCCATAGGCCACCAACCGTACTTCCCTAAGAGGCTTAGTTTTTTGTTTTGTTTCCCTGCGACAGGGTTTCTCTGTGTAGATTTGGAGCCTGTCTTGGAACTTAAACTATAGACAAGGCTGGCCTTGAACACACAAAAGATCTGCCTACCTCTGCCTCCCAAGTGCTGGGATTAAAGGAATATGCCACCACTGGATGGCTGCTTTATTTTTTTAAGAACTACAACTCCTAGAATCCCAGCCCTTGGGCACCTGGTCCTTGGGCAGGAGGGGTGTATAGGTTAATTTTTGGCCTAACTATCTAGAGTGTTCCCCGTCCCTTTTAGTGTTTATCTCCTACGTTGACATTTGCAGGTTATATTTTGTGAGATCACTATGTCACTAAGGTAACTGATTTTCTATCTTCCTTTTTGTAAGTGGATAGCTCAGTTCTATGCCCTAGAAAAGTTTCTGCTTCTCCCTTTTGTGTTTAAACTTCCTCTAACTATAATGGCATGCTTTTTATCAGCCAAGTCCTGATTCAAGGGTCTATGTATGTTTAACAGTACTCCTGCTATGACTACTATACAAGTGAAAGAGCCACCGGGGTCTGCTGAGAGAATGCCCAGAGATGTAAAGCTTGCCCAGACAAGCTCAGCGGACTGTGCTCGGAAGGCTGCCCAGCTTCGGTGAGAGCTAGCTTGCAGTGCCTCAACCCATACTGAGCAGAAACAGCTAGGGATTTTGTTTTTGTTGGATTTTAACAGCTTTTCTTCACCTCTGAGGAAAAGAGACTGTTTAGGAATAGATTCAATCTAAGACATAGACCTGGAGTGTCCAGTGTTAAATCCTGCATATAAAGAGGCAGGTGGGCTAGGTTTTGTGGTGTATATCTTTAATACCTACACTCAGGAGGCATAGGCCGGTGGATGGCTTTTGGAGGCCTGCCTGGTCTACATAGAGAATTCTAGGTGACACAGGAGACTATGTCTAAAGAGAGAGGAGAGGGGTGGGGGAAGGAATGAATTTCTCTCCATAGCCCTAGCTGCCTTGGAACTGGCTTTGTAGATCAGGTTGACCTTGAACTCAGAGATCATCTTCCTCTGCCTCCCCAGTGCTGGGATTAAAGGTGGGTGCCACCATCACTCTGGTTTCCGGAATTTTTAAAAGTTTATTTAACTTTATTTATTTATTTATTTATTTTGGTTTTTACGAGACAGGGTTTCTCTGTATTGTTTTGGAGGCTGTCGGTCCAGCCTGGTCTCGAACTCACAGAGATCCGCCTGCCTCTGCCTCCTGAGTGCTGGGATTAATGGCGTGTGCCACCATCGCCCGGCTTTAACTTTATTTTATGTGCATAAAGGTATCAGATCCCCTGGAACTGGAGTGACAGACAGCTGTGAGCTGCCATGTAGGTGCTGGGAATTGAGCCCAGGTCCTCAGGGAGAACAACCTCATAACCCCTAAGCCATCTCTCCAGCCCTTTCACTCAAAATTCTTCCTCCCCCCCCCCAGACGTTTTCTCTGTGGCTTTCAAGGCTGTCCTGGAGCTAGCTCTTGTAGACCAGGCTGGCCTCGAACTCACAGAGATCCGCCTGCCTGTGCCTCCCAAGTGCTGGGATCAAAGGTGTGCGCCACCACTGCCCGGAAGATTCACGTATACTTTATGTGTATGAATGTTTTGCTAGTATACGTGTCTGTGCACCATGTGCATGCATGGTGGCTGAGGAGGTCAGAAGCCTACGGGTTCTACCCAGCTACCACTTAAGCCCTAGTCCTCTATGAGAGCAACAAGTGTCCTCATAGCCAAGCCGACTCTTCAGCTCCTCCTCATTTTTCAGATTTAAGTCTTTCATGGATGAAAGAATGTTTTGCTTACAGATGTTAGTGCACTATGTGTTTCAGGTGCCAGAAGAGGACGCCAGATCCTTTGCAACCGGGGTTGACTGCTGGTTTAACCTGGGACTGCAATCTGTGCTTCCCAAGAGCTCTTGACCACTGAACCCGAAGTGGTGCCTTAATTACAAAAGCTAACTAGCAGCAGGAACTGGTGGCGCACGCCTTTAATCCCAGCACTTGGGAGGCAGAGGCAGGCAGATCTCTATGAGTTAGAGGCTAGCCTGGTCTACAGAATGAGTTCCAGGACAGCCAGGACTATTCCACAGAGAAACTGTGTCTCGAAAGCAAACAAAGCAAAACAGAAGTGAAAGCCATCAAACAACTTTTTGTTTTTGTTTTTTGAGACAGGGTTTCTTTGTGTGTCCCTGGCTGTCCTAGAACTCTCTCTGTAGACTAAACAAACTGGCCTTGAACTCAAGGATCTACCTGTTTCTCAAAGAGTGAGAGGATTAAAGATAATGTACCACCATGCCCAGCTAAGCTATTTTTTTTTTAAAGAAAAAGGGCCAACTTGGGCTATACAGTGATATGTTGTCTCAAAAAAATGTAAATTAGCCGGGCATTGGTGGCACATGCCTTTAATCCCAGCACTTGGGAGGCAGAGGCAGGCAGATCTCTGTCTACAGAGTGAGTTCCAGGACAGCCTCCAAAACAATACAGAGAAACCCTGTCTCGAAAAAAAAATGTAAATTAAATCAAATATCCAGAAACATCATCCCCTAGCTTTGGAAATAATAATAGCCTTCGTTTGTCTCTATACTCATGTTTCTAAGGAAATCAGGCATATATTTAGTTGGACTCTGTAAGATTTCTGAGAAATTGTGAGAACAGTAATTTGAAAAAATAGTTACTATGTTTTCTTAGAACTCAAGGTTTAAGGTTAATGGTCCTCAGATCTCAACTGTCATAGTTAAAAACAGGAGGAGATGGGTGGGGGCTGGAGAGATTGCTCAGAGGTTAGGAGCACTGACTGCTCTTCCAGAGGTCCTAGGTTCAATTCCCAGCAACCACATGGTGACTCACAACCTCCCTGTGATGAGATCTGGTGCCCTCTTCTGGCGCACAGACATACATACAGGCAGAAGACTGTATACATAATAAATAAATCAAAAAAACAAAACAAAGCAGGAGGAAAGATATTTCGCAGGCTATTTCTACTTCCGATGTGTTAGGAGGAAACAAAATAGGCAACAGTAGGAGGTACTGGGCCCCAGATGGAACAGTTTAATGTCTTCTGTTTACAGAGCTTCCATTAAGGAGAATGTGGAGCTGATTCGACTTAAGAAGCTCTTGTATGAAAAGAATGCCTTGCTGGCAGCCACAGAAGCCCGATTAACACAAGTTCAAGAGGTGAGCTGCCACAGTCAGCTGTGCTATGCAGAGAGGGAAAAGACAATTAGTTCTTTCAAGAAGCGGCAGGTTCATTCCCTAGTACTGCACAAAGGGGAGGGGTGTTACTAAAAAACAACCAAAAGGGCCGGGCGTTGGTGGCGCACGCGTTTAGTCCCAGCACTTGGGAGGCAGAGGCAGGTGGATCTCTGTGAGTTCGAGGCCAGCCTGGTCTACAAGAGCTAGTTCCAGGACAGCCTCCAAAACCACAGAGAAACCCTGTCTCGAAAAACCAAAAAAAAAAAAAAAAAAACCAGAAACAAACAAAACTAGATAGGCTGTGGTGGTGCACGCCTTTAGTCCCAGCACTTGGGAGGCAAAGGCAGGTGGATCTCTGTGAGTTCGAGGCCAGCCTGTTCTATAGAGAGAGTTCTAGGATAGCCAAGGCTACAGACACACTGTCGTGAAAAAAACAACAACCCAAAACTCGTTCCTCCTCCTCCTTTCCCTCTCCTTTCCTCCACTTCCTGCTCTTCCTCCACTTTGTATCTACCCTATATTTGTGATGGGCCCTTATTCTGTAACATAGGCCAACTGAAACTGTGTGTCCCTCAGGCCAGCCTCAAACTTGCCCAATCCTTTCTTAGAACCTCCAATGCTGGGATTCCCAGGGTGTCCACCACAGCCAGCTGATTTTTTCTGTCTTACATATGTGAGATCATAATTCAAGACACTAAATTACTTGTCTAAGGTCATCTAATTTACAGGTGGTATTCAGAGTCAAACCTTGCAAGTCCATTGTTTTTCTCAGTATTTCTCTGTTATGGGAAAGACTCAGGCTCTTGCCTGCTAAGGTGGCATTTGGCAGGGTTAACTTGTGTCAGGGTTCAGGTCCCAACCAAAGGGAACAGAACGTAATTCTGTAATCACCCTAGGGGAGGGCAGGAGACAAGCCCTGGGTGAGGACTTTCTACATGCTGAGGACTTGGCCCTAGGTACTTAGCATGTGTCCTCTTCTAATGTGACAGATTTGCTGAGCGATAATCCTTCTGTACGTGTCAATATGCATTCTCCCCATTGGTTAATAATAAAGGCTGTTTGACCAATAGCCAGGCAGGATAAGGTTAGGCAGAACAATCCAATTGAGGACTTGGATGAGGAGGGGTGAGTCAAGAGAGATGGCGAGCCAGCAGCCCAAGAAACAAGATGTCAGAGGAACGGTAAAGCCATGGCCATATGGCAATACATAGATTAACAGAAATGGGTTAATTTAAATGTAATGGCTGGTTAGCAATAAGCCTAAGCCATCGGCCAAACATTCTGTAATTAATATTAAGTCTCTGAGTGATTATTTAAAGGCAGCTATGGGGAAGGGTGGGACAGAGAAAAACTCCGTTTACAAAAACTGATGTAAGTACACACAGTAGTGAGGGAATAAGGCCCCAAAGAAGACAAGTAACTGGATTGAGGTGTGAAAAGATTAAGAGGCAGAATAGGATTTGGTTCAGGTTCGTACCGCAGCTTTCCCCATTACTAGGTTAGAAACTACGATGAGAATGGTAGAAATGTGATGTCAAGGTCCAAATGAGACCTCAGCACCATTCTCTCGTCGAACCAGTATGTACAGGGTATTAAAACTGCACTAAGGGCTGGGGAGATGGCTCAGAGGTTAAGTCCACTGGCTGTTCTTCCAGGGGTCCTGCATTCAATTCCCAGCAACCACATGGCGGCTTACGACTGTAACCCCAGCTCCAGGGGATCCAACACCCTTACAAAGCATGCATACAGGCAAACCCCCCCCCCAATGTACAGAAAATAAATAAATAAATCTTAGTGAAAGATGCAACATTTCAGGAGAAGAGAGTAAAGCTAGCGTGGCTGTACAGACCGTAGACACAGAAATTCTACAGGATCCCAGGATAGGAGGACCACGGAGACTAGATGAGGACCCAGCGGGAGAGAACCCTGCAGAGAAGGGGGTCTTACTTTGGTTAAGTCCAGGACACAGAAGAATGGGCTCTGTCCCGGAAAGGAGGGGGGGGCAATGGAGAGAAGGGAGGTGGCTCTGGATCCCTGCTTTAGGTGAGGAGGATACCAAACCCAACTGTATTTATCTTATAGAGATGTCAAGTATCTCATAAAATTGGTGAATTGGTAAAATAGTATTTATTTCTTCCAGGCATATGAAGACTTGCTCCAGAAGGTAATTTCTTGTTGTTGTTGTTTGAGTAGTAGTCCTTTCTCATTAGCTGGGCTAATTTATTATTATTATTATTATTATTTTTTTTTTTGGTTTTTCGAGACAGGGTTTCTCTGTGGCTTTGGAGGCTGTTCTGGAACTCACTTGGTAGTCCAGGCTGGTCTCGAACTCACAGAGATCCGCCTGCCTCTGCCTCCCTAATTTATTATTTTTAAACTGTTTATTTTTCTATGACTGTCTATACCCATTTTCTTTTCTTCAGCATCTAAGTGCATTTTATTTATTTATTTTGGTTTTTCGAGACAGGGTTTCTCTGTGGCTTTGGAGGCTGTCCTGGAACTCGCTTGGTAGTCCAGGCTGGTCTCGAACTCACAGAGATCCGCCTGCCTCTGCCTCCCGAGTGCTGGGATTAAAGGCGTGCGCCACCAACGCCCGGCCCTAAGTGCATTTTAAAATGTGCATCTGTTTAGAGCTTTTCTTGGTCTGAACCTGGCTTTATTGCATCCCTGCAGCGTCCTCTGACGGTTTGGCCAGGCCCTCAGCAGCATGGCTTTGGCTTATGGCTCTGCCCGCTCTGGGTGCTCTTAACAGTCTCAGCTGCACCCAACCCTCTCAGCTCTGGGAAGCTGCTGTGTCCTCACTGGGGCAGGCATTAGTATCTAGCCTCTTTTCCGCTGCTCGTAGCAGGACCCCTTAAACAAGCTGTGCTTCTGTACACTGTGAGCAACGGGTTGGTGTATGTACCCTATGTTGGGCGCTAAATATAGTCAGATTTTTCTTTGGGCCGCCAGCTTGCAAATAATGACCCGGAGACTTATTAATTTATGAAAGCTCGGCCTTAGTTTAGGCTTGTTCCTAACTATTTCTTTCTTTTCTTTATTCTCTCTCTCTCTCTCTCTCTCTCTCTCTCTCTCTTTTTTTTTTTTTTTTGGTTTGGGAGTTAGGCCTAACTATTTCTTATAACCCATATTTTTTATTTTTTATTCTACATTCTTCCACGAGGCTTGTTACCTTATCTCCATACTGTTCATCCTGCTTTCTCTGTGTCTGATGACCCTGCCTTTTTTCTTCCCAGAGTCCTCTCTGTCCCTAGAAGTCTCGCCTAACCTCTGCCTGCCTTGCTATTGGTCATTCAGCTTTTTTTCTTCTTTTTTGAGACAGGGTTTTTCTGTGCAGCTTTGGAGGCTGTCCTGGCACTCAGTCTGTAGACCAGGCTGACCTCGAACTCACAGAGATCTGTCTGCCTCTGCCTCCCAAGTGCTGGTATTAAAGTTGTGCACCACCACACCCAGCCCTAATAACTTACTGATTTTTTTTTATTTCCTGTGTGTTTATGTTCTGCCTGCATGTATGTATATCTGTGTGAAGATGTCAGATCTCCTGGAATTGGAGATACAGACAGGAGCTGCAATGCAGGTGCTGGGAATTGAACCCAGGTCCTTTGGGAGAGCAGTCAGTGTTCTTAACCACTGAGCCATCTCTCCAGACCTTTAAATCTGTTTTCTTAGCCAGGCAGTGGTGATACATGCCTTTAATCCCAGCACTCAGGAGGTAGAGGCAGGCAGATCTCTATGAGTTCCAGGCCAGCCTGGTCTATAGAGCAGGTTCCAGGTCAGACTCCAAAGTCACACAGAGAAATTCTGTCTCAAAAAAAACTATTTTTTAGTAATCAGAGCAATCAAACCCAAAGAAATCTATCTTCTGCTCCATGTTACATGATAGCAGAATTAAGGCAACTAAATTAGTTATTAGGTTGTATTGTTTCTTTCTCTTCTTTTTCTTTTTCTTTTGGTCATATTGTTTCTAATAAGATGAATTATGCTATTACTATTACAAATTCTATTTATTGTATTTTTTTCACATTTTTGTTGTTTTTTGAGACAGGGGCTTGCTTTCAGTTTCAGAGGTTGAGTCCATTGTCATCATGGTGGTAATTTTCATCATGGTGGAAAAATGGCAGCCTGCAGATAGATATGGTGTTGGAGAGGTTCTACATCCAGATCCCCAGGCAGCAGGGAAAGAGAGAGAGCTACTGGGCCTGGATGGGGCTTCTGAAACTCCAAAGCCCACCCTCCAGTGACATACTTCCTCTCACAAGGTCGCACCCACTCCAACAAAGCCACACCTCCTAATCCCTCTCAAGAAGTACCACTCCCTGATGACCAAGCATTCCCAAACACACATGAGCCTGTGGGGGCCATTCTTATTCAAAGCACCACATGGTCATTCTGTGTGGCCTCCGCCTAAGAATGCTGGAGTTGCTGCTGTGTGGAGACCATTGCTGCTGATACATGTGGTCATTCCTAGAGGAATTTCCCTTTGTCTGCAGAATCAAGGAATACTGAATGCAACCCATGATGCCTTCCTCAGCCAAGTGAGTGAGCTCCAGGCAGAGCTGACAGAGCAGAGCAAGAAGGCCATGAGCTTGAAGGCACAACTGGAAGATGTGTCTCTCTTGCAGATAACTCTGAACGAGGTAAATACCAGTAGTGAAAAGAAGCCATCAAATGTGCCATATTCCAGGATTCAGAGCCGCTCAATTGTAGAGTACTTGCCCAGCACATATAAAGGCCTGGACTTGATCCCAACACTGCATAAAAGCTAGACATAGTGTCACATGCCTTTAGTTCCAGCACTTGAGAGGCAGAGGCTGGGGGGAGACTCTGAATTCAGTCTGTCCTGATGAGACTCTGACTCAAAGCAAAACAGGTGTTGACATACATCTGTAACCCCAGCAGTCTGAAAACAAGGTGGTGACATGGTGACATGTTCCAGGTCTTTTGATGTATAGTGATCTTGAGACCAGCGTGGGCTACCTGATAAACAAAGAAAAACAATTGTGTGTGCTAGGCCAAGGCTGAGGACTTGAGGGAGCACATTTTTTTTTTAATTGAAAACTGCTGCCTGAGCTGGGCGTTGGTAGCACAGGCCTTTAATCTATCCCAGCACTCGGGAGGCAGAGGCAGGCAAATCTCTGTGAGAATGAGGCCAGCCTGGCCTACAAGAGCTAGTTGCAGGACAACCTCCAAAGCCACAGAGAAATCCTCTCTTGAAAAACCAAAAACCAAACCAAACCAAAACAAAAAACCAAGAAACAAAACTGCTGCCAGGCATTGGTGGCATAGGCTTTATATCCTTGGGGAACTCTCAGACAAGGTTTACAAACAGAGGATGGATAAGGGTAGGTGCTACCTCTCTGGAGCTAGGCCATGTGTGTCCCAGCAGGGGTTAGGGCTAGTTGCTAGCACTCTGGTGTCAGGATTCTTCTGATTTGTCTGTATGCCTATATACCATGCGAGTGATGTCTGCTGAAGTAAAACATGGCATTAGATCCCCTCAAATGAGGTTACAGATGTTTGTGAGCCATCATGTGGGTTCTGGGAACCAAGCCTAGGTCCTCAAGAAGAGCAGTCAGTGTTCTTAGTTGCTAAACTGCCCAGCCCTGTTACTTAATATTTTCATATGAGAACAGTGGACCTCCAAACTGGTTAAACCACGTAGTTTAGGGGTTTTTTTGTTTCGTTTTGTTTTTCGAGACAGGGTTTCTCTGTATTATTTTGGAGGCTGTCCTGGAACTAGCTCTGTATGGACCAGACTGGCCTCAAACTCACAGAGATCTGTCTGACTCTGCCTCCTGAGTGCTGGGATTAAAGGCGTGTGCCACCAACGCCTGGCTCAGCCCCTTCTTTTGTTGTTTTTTTGAGACAGGGGTCTCACTGTGTAGCTCTGGTTACTCTGGAATGCACTCTGTAGACCAGGCTGGCCTCAAACTCACAGAGATCTGCCTGACTCTGCCTCCTGAGTGCCAAGGCTAATCGTTTGCCCCACCAGTATCGACTGTTTCTTTTTTCCTTACATTTATTCATTGTGTGTCCATATGTGCAAGTGCATAGACCACAGCTCAAGTGTGAAGGTCGTAGGACAACTTTTGAGTTAGTCTTCTCTTTCCATCATGTGGGCTCTGAGGGTGAGACTCAAGTCAAAGGCCGGTGGCAATCACCCTTATCTGCTGAGCCCTCTCACTGTCCACTTTTGTCTTTTATAATGAGTTGTCATAAGCTGGACGGTGGTGGCGCCCGTCTTTAGTCCCAACACTCGGGAGGCAGAGGCAGGAGGATCTCTGAGTTCTCTGCCAGCCTGATCTACAAGATCGAGTTCCAGGATAGCTTCCAAAGCCACAGAGAAACTCTGTCTTGAAAAATAAAACAAACAAACAAACAAAGAATGTGTTGTCATTTCCCGATCTTTTGTTTGTTTGTCTTTGTTTTTTGAGACAGAGTTCCATTATGTGACCCTGGAGGTCCTGGCACTTGCTAACTCTGGCGACTTGGCTAGCAGAGAACTCAGAGATTTGACTGCCTCTGTGCCAGGATTCAATGTGTGTGTGCCACTGCCACACAATGACACCTTGTAGAACCAGTGTAGAAAAGCAAAACCAGCGTGGTCTTAAGGATTCTGTCATTTTTAGTTTCAGGTCAGAGTTGAAGACTTGGAAAACGAACGAAAATTGCTAAGTGACAGTTATGGCAAACTCTTAGAAAAGTAAGTACAACAGTGTCTGGTCCCAGAACACTGCTTTCTATAAGAGAGCCATGGCACCTAACAAATTTTAAACAGACTGAACAGGCATGGTGGCACACGCATTTCATCCCAGCGTTCCAGAGGCAAAGGCAGGCAGAGATGGAGGCCACAAGCCAGCCTGTTCTACAGAGTTCCAGGACAGCCAGGAATGTATATAGGGAAAGCCTGTCTCAAGAAATAAAACAAAACAAAAGAGATAACAATAATTTTCAAAGGAAAGGCAAGTTGTAATCAGGTGTGTTAACCCTGCCCTGGCTTGTGCGTTTTAATATGCTTAGACTATGTGAAGCAGGGTACCTTCACTTCATTTCAGGCCTCAGGTCTTTTATCGTCTTCCTTTCTTCCTTCCTCCCTCCCTCCCTCCCTCCCTGCCTTCCTCCCTCCCTCCCTGCCTTCCTCCCTCCCTCTCTCTCTCTTTCTTCCTTCCTTCCTTTCTTTCTACTGCCTGGTGATGTTGGTGGTGATACATGCCTTAATCCCAGCACTCAGGAGGCAAAGGCAGGCCAGTCTCTGAGTCAGATGCTAGTCTGGTCTACAGAGTGAGTTCCAAGGCAACCAGGGATACACAGAGAAACCCTGTCTTGAAAACAAACATGTTTTTACTTATTTTATTTTACGTGTCTGGGCATGTTGTTAGCATGTGTGCCTAGTCATCACATGTGTGCCTGGTGTCTGCCTCTGGAGACTAGAAGAGGGTGTTGGGTCCCCTGGGACTGATGGTCCACTACGTGGGTGTTGGGAACTGAACCTAGGTCCCCTGGAAGAGCAACTGGTGTTCTTAACTGCTAAACCATCTCTCCAGATTCTTGTTTTAATTTTTCACAATAAGCATATACTCATGTATTAACTTTGTAATTAAAAGGACCTAGCTGGACCTTGTGGCACAGGCCTGTAATCCCAGCTACTCAGGACTTTAGCTAAGTTGATCACAAGTTCAAAGCCTAACTGGGCTACAGAATGAGTTTGAGGACAACCTGGGCAACTTAATGGGACTCTGTCTCAAAACAAAAAATAGAATGATGGCTGTGGATGTCGGTGGTAGAGCATTTTCTTCACGTGTGAGGTCCTGGGTTCAGTCCCCAGTTAAAAAAAAAAAGTACATAGATTTTGTTTTTAAGCAAAGTGCCTTTTGCCCTGGTATAAGACAGCAAAGAGGGGCTGGAGAGATGGCTCAGAGGTTAAGAGCACTGACTGCTCTTCCAGAGGTCCTGAGTTCAGTTCCCAGCAACCACATGGTGGCTCACAACCATCTCATAATGAGATCTGGTGCCCTCTTCTGGCATGCAGGCAGAAGACTGTATAAACAATAAATAAATAAAATCTTAAAAAAAAAAAGACAGCAAAGGGAGCTGGGCGAGCGATCCCGCACCTGTAATCCCAGGATTTAGGAGGCAGAGGCAGGAGAATCAAAAATTTCAAGCCAGAAACCTAATGAGGCCCTGTTGCAAGGAAAAATTAAAGCTAGCATAGTGGAACCCTGGAGACCTAAGTAGAGGCAACACTGAGCAACTCCTCAAATGCCACCCAGAAGTTCCAAAGCAGTTGGCAAATGACAGTTACAAATAAAGCTGGGGCGGAAAAACATGTGGAGAAAGGAATGACCAACTAGGTCCCAGAGATGCTGAAACTGTGTAACAAAGACGCTGTAGCATACTCCTTTGAGGGTCCACCTGACACCGTGCCTCCGCTTTTCAGCATGCTGGACAGCAGTCAGCCTACTCCCTGGAGCAGTGAGCCCGCCAGTGAGCAGCTCCCACAGCCAGACTGCCCGCTGCAGGACCAACTGGGCGCTGGGCTGGAGGAAACAGAAGTGGAAACAGAAGTGGAAACAGAAGTCTTACTCCAGGAAACCAACAATAAAGGTGGGTCAGGCCTGAAAGAGCTTTCTCTGGCTGGGAGATGGGAATTTGGGCCTCTCCAGTCTTCCCACATTTTGTGCGTCATTAATAACTAGAACTAAAAACCATGGACGACTAGATCTTCTTTAGCCCAGAAGGTTTGGTGCCTGCATACATCATTGTATGCCTTTCCCCATACATCTCTTGCTATTTGGGATGATGTCAATTTTTTAAATTTGTTTCTAAACATTCATTTTTATTGATCATGCTAAAGACAAATTTCTCACCCAGTATGGTGATGCATGCCTTTAATCCCAGTGTGGCAGAGGCAGAGGCAGACAGATCTCTGAGTTCCAGGACAGCCTGGTTTACCTAGTGAGTTGTGGGACAGCCAGGGCTACGTAGTGAGATCCTATCTCAACATACCAAAAGGAAAGAGAGAGGCGGGAGAGGGAGGAGAGAGGGAATTTCTCTGTTTTTTTGTTTTTCAATTTGGTCATTTCTGAGATGTGTGGAAAAAAAAACTCCTTGTTTTTTCTACCTGATGTCTAAAAGTGAGGGTCCAGTCAGTAGCTCTTGATTGTTTTCTGGGATTCTACTACCATTTCAGTTCCTGTCTCTCTTTTCCATTGATTTGAAGCTGGGAATTTAATGGAGGGCCTCATACATGTTCGACCGGTGAGCTATACAGGCTCTGTCACCAGGTCTTACCGCCACCATCCATTTTTTTGTTGTTGAGACAAAGTGTTACTATGTGGCTCTCTCTGACCTTGAACTCTCCATCTTTTTGCCTCCAAATTCCATGTGAGTTACAGGCATACATGCCCTGCCATGCCTGTCTTTTAAACAATGTCATGAAGACTGTGCTCTTCATCTGGTCTCAGATCATGCTGTATAGTTTTTGCAACTTGTCTTTAAGAATCCTAGTTTAAGCCGCGCGGTGGTGGCGCACGCCTTTAATCCCAGCACTCAGGAGGCAGAGGCAGGCGGATCTCTGTGAGTTCGAGGCTGGGCTGGACTGACAGCCTCGAAAACAATACAGAGAAACCCTGTCTCGTAAAAAAAAAAAAAAAACCCAAAAAACAAAGAATCCTAGTTTATTCAAATAAGAAAGTATAGGGAAAAAAGATGACACAAGGACAATAGGGACCTTTGCCTTCCAGAGCATGGTGGGAGGACCAAGAATTTGAAGCTAGTCTGGGCTACGTAGTAAGACTGTCTGTCTGAAACAAAACAAAGGAAAAAGAAGGAGCCTTTGTGTCCTGCAGTGGTAATACATGCGTTTTGGGTCTGTGAGTCTGAGGCCAGCCTGGTTTACAGAGTGAGTTCTCAGACAGCCAGGGCTACCGAGAGTAACCCTGTCTCAAACAAACAAGCAAAGAAACAAAGTAAAAAAGAAAAGAAGGGGGCTGGAGAGATGACTCAGAGGTTAAGAGCACTGACTGCTCTTCCAGAGGTCCTGAGTTCAATTCCCAGCAGCCACATGGTGGCTCACAACCATCTACAATTCAATCTGGTGCCCTCTTCTGACATATAGACAGAACACTGTATATGCAATAAATAAATAAATCTTAAAAAAAAGAAGTTCCCCTTTCATAAATCTTTTTTAAAAAGTTCCCCTTTCATAGCCCATGTTTAAAAAAAAGAAAGGAAGGAAGGAAGGAAGAAAGAAAGAAAGAAAGAAAGAAAGAAAGAAAGAAAGAAAGAAAGGAAGCCGGGCCTTCACAGTGCACACCTTTAATCCCAGCACTTGGGAGGCAGACAGGTGGATCTCTATGAGTTCCAGGCCAGCCTGGTCTACAAAGTGAGTTCCAGGCCAGTCTCCAAAGCCACACAGAGAAAACCTGTCTTGAAAAACAAAAACAAAAGGAGGAGCCTTCAGGCAGAGGCCATAGAATAAGAAAGCTTGGGAACACACCAGGCACCTTGTAGTGTGCATAGAGAGCAAATGAAACTTTACAAGGTCCGAGGAATTCTCATGGAATGTCCCTGATGCTCTCCGAGTGCCCTGCACCCTGACACACACGCAGGACTAACTCCCTGCCTCCTCTCGTCAGAGTGGGTATGGAGATGGAGGCAAAGGAGAACAAATGGCCAGAAGTCACAATGGAGCCAAGTTGGTGAGAGACTGGCTTGTATTGTGCTATCAGAAAAGGAATACTTGGTGGGGGATGGAGCTTGGTTGGTAGAGTGCTCTTGGATGCATAAGACCCCGGTGATCAGCCAGGCATTGGTGGCGCATGCCTTTAATCCCAGCACTCGGGAGGCAGAGGCAGGCGGATCTCTGTGAATTCCAGGCCAGCCTGGTCTATAGAGTGAGTTCCAGGACAGCCTCCAAAAACAATACAGAGAAACCTTGTCTCGATAAACCAAAAAAAAAAAAAAAAAAAAAAAAATCCCAGTGATCATCATCTGCTTATCCATTCTAACCCCACCCTAGATCGTGTCCAAAAGCACTGCTGGCCTGTCCTGGGCAGCCATGTCGTTTCCCTCTCCACCCCACAATTCCTTGGGTGTTCCTCTACCCTCTTGGTTTTACCTTGGACGTGCAAGTGCCACCTCAGTTGCCAGGGTCAGCAGGCTAGAGGTCCTTTTGTGTCAGCAAGAGGGAATTGCTTTTCCATATAAAACGAAGCCTTAGAGAAAAACATGACTTCCCATCATGCTTGATTGAACTCCGCAGCTGCCGATAACTGGTTTTGACTCTCTGGATCCCCTCCCACCCTTTCAGCATCTCAAGATGAAGATCTGACGCACAAAGAAGTCACCAACATCTGTTACCAGCACGAGCAGGAAGAAGAGGGACTCCAGACAACAGCCACAGCACCCCCGTCTCTGGAAGGGCCGTCTGAACCCGCTGCTCAGCCCTCTCTGTTCCAACAGATAGACCAGATAGAGGTAAACACGCGACTCTACCGAGAGGTTTCTGACAGGGAAAAACTGAGGGACATGACTGTCCTGGTCGAGAACTGCATTTAAAAAGCACTGAGGAATGCTGGAGAGATGGCTCAGCCCTTAGAGGTGAGGCTCACAACCAAAAAAAAGTGCAGAGGAGGCTGACAGGAAGTTTTGTGAGCCCCACCCGTTTCTCACATGCGTTACAACTCATAAGAGGGAGATGCTTCTTCATTTTTCATTAAAATTTCAAAACGGGCCAGGTGTTGGTGGCTCACACCTTTAATCCCAGCCCTCGGGAGGCAGAGGCAGGTGGATCTCTGTGAGTTTGAGGCCAGCCTGGTCTACAGAGAGAGTTCCAGGGCAGCCTTCAAAACAATACAGAGAAACCCTGTCTCAAAAACAAACAAACAAACAAACAAAAAAATCTCAAAACGATGTATTTATTTTATTTAATATGTGAGGCTTTTGTTTGCATGTATGATGTATGTCTGTGCACCATCTGTGTACTGGTGCCCATGGTGGAAGAAATAGGGCATTAGATTCCCAAGAAATGGAGTTATGGATGGTTAGGAACTACTGTGTATGTACTGGGAACCAAACCTTGGCCCACTGAAAGAGCAATAAGTGCTTTTAATCACTGAGCCATCTCTTCAGTCCTTTTGTTTAGTTTTTAAAGATTTACTTACTTTTGTTTTACACATATGAGTGCATTCATGTATGTGTAGCACATAAGTGCGCATGCATGTATGTGTACCATGTAAATGCTCATGCATGTATGTGTAGCACCTAAGTGCATGCCCATGAAGGTCAGAAGAGGACACTGAATTTTCTGAAACTAGAGTTATAGACAATTGTGAGCTGCCATGTGGGTTCTGGGAATGGAATCTGGGTCCTCTGCAAAAGCAGCCAATGCTCTTAACCATGTCTCTTGTCCATAGATTCCTTAGACTAGAACTTGAAGTGATCTACCAAAGAGCAACTGCACTTTGATTTTATTCATTATAGTTTTGTTTATGTATATGACATATGTGTGCACATGTGCCATGGTGCCTGTGTGGAGGTCAGAGGGATGACTGTGTGGAGTGGGTTCATTCCTTTTGCTTTTTTTAAAGCTATTTATTAACTTTATTTTATTTGCATTGGTATAGAAGGTGTCAGATCCCCTGAAACCAGTTACAGACAAGGTGTGAACTGTAGTGTGGATGCTGGGAATTGTATCCAGTCCTCTGGAAGAGCAGCCAGTGCTCTTAACCTTTGAGCCATGTCTCCAACTCCTTCCCCTTTTGCTTTTATATGAGCTTCAGGGATCAAACCCATGTCATCAGGCTTGCACAGCAAGTGCTCTGTCCCTGGAGTTATCTCTGTAGGGAAAAGGGTCCAGCCAAAGAAACACACCCTGAGCGGAGCCAAAGAAACACACTTTGGCCCTGCAACCGGAATTAAAGAAATGCACCCTGACCCTGAAACCAGTGCCAAAGAAGCACACTTTGTCCCTGGAATCACAGCCAGTGAAAGAAATGCACCCTGGCCCTAAAATTAGAGCCAAAAGGCTAATAATGACCAGAAAAAGAAACACACTTTGGCCCTGAAACCAGAGCCAAATCTGATCCTAACATTGTGCAGAAACCTAACCAATCCCTGAGCAGGAGATCTAGCCATCCTAAACTCAGGGATTGAAATCTGACCAATACCTACCCTGGAAAACTTCATCCCCTAAGAAGCCCTATATAAACCCTGTATCTGTTCAGCTTGTGGCTGTTTGTGCTACCTGCCTGTCCTCTGCCACTGTGGCAGAGGGCAGCCACTCTCCTGGATTCTTCCCTCTTAATAAATATCTTGAATGAATGAGGTTTGGGTGAGACCTTCTTTCGCCAGAGTAAAGAAGACCCTGGGCAGAGCAGAGCTGAGCACTTTTCGCTGGGGTAAACCTTCCCCTGGTGAACTAAATTGTTACACTCTCCAGCTGAATGGAGCTGAACTGTAACAAGTTCACAGGGGAAACCCTCTCCTGGGGAGCAGAGCTGATACACTGGGGAAGCCTTTCCCAGAAGCCAGGCTGTAAGCTGTTATGCTTACTGTGACCTGTGGTATTCCTTGGCTCCCAAGTGCCAGGATACCTTTCCATCCGAGCTGTAACACTCAGTATTCTTTGGCTCTCGAGTGCCAAAATCCATCCTTGTCCATCACATCTGATTCATCGAAATGCTTACGATCTCACCAGCCTCCATACTGCCATTTGAAAACTGTGTCACACCAGGGTACTGACTGAGTCTCTCATTGTGAGGCCTGGGTGGGGAAGAGAGAGCTCTTGTGACTTGAAACAAACCTCGTATGCCCTGAAGGAAATTTGCTGCTGGGCTTTTACAGCTCTCCACAGCTGCTTGAGAGAGAAAGTTGTGACATACTGTGCCTGTCATGTTTATTCTTGCTTTTGTCACTGTTTCCCCTTGGTAGCCCAGTGAGCCAAAATCTCCAGAAGAAAACGACCTGTCCCAGATGCTAAGTGAGTTGCAAGTGTCGCACGCAGAGACCACACTGGAACTAGAAAAGACCAGAGACATGCTGCTTCTGCAGCGTAAAATCAACGTGTGCTATCAGGTGCAAGGGAAGATGGCTCAGGACAGGGACGGGAGGCTGGGCACGTGGGACCACACACACACTCTGGGAAGCAAGCGAGGTCCAGGTTTCTAGGGCTGATGGTTTGGGACATGCTGCCTGTGGAAGGCCTTGAGGACTCACTGACACAGGCCCAGGCACCCTGGCCCTATATGTCAGCTAAGGGGCAGCTCATGAAATGGCAAGTGCTGAGCTTCTGGGCTCATTTCTCCCCAGAGTCCTAGGGAAATAATCACCTCGGGTGCCTGCCACAAAGTGCAGCTTGGATGCGGAGGTTCTTGGGGAACCTAAGCTTTCTTCCTGGATCAAACCTGCCCTGCTGAGGAGGCAGGGGTCTCCTTCCCCCAGCCAGATTCAGTCTTAAAGTCGGAACTCTCTGGTTCTGTGCCACTGAGAGGAAAGCTCAGTCTTGGCTTTGTTTCAGGAGGAGCTGGAGTCAGTGATGACAAAAGCTGATAACGAAAACAGGGACCACAAAGAGAAGCTGGAGAGGCTGAGCCACCTCCTGGACCTCAAGAGCAACCGCATTAAGCAACTGGAAGGTATTTTAAGAAGCCACGGCCTTCCAACATCTGGCAAGTCTTAGCTCTTTGTTTTTATCTTAGGTGATGTCACAAGACTAACAATGATCCACCTGAGTTTTTCTCTCCTGCTTTCTTCCTCTCATCTCTGCTCTGTTTTGTTTTTCGAGACAGGGTTTCTCTGTGTAGCTTTGGAGCCCAGTCCTGGAACTCGCTTTGTAGACCAGGCTGGCTTCAAACTCACAGAGATCTACCTGCTTCTGCCTCCTGAGTGCTGGGATCAAAGGCGTGCACCACCACTGCCCAGCCATCTCTGTGGTTTTGATACATAGTTTGTTACTTCTTTTTCTTCATCTGGTCAGTGTGAGTCTCTGATTTTTCTGAAGAATTTCAACAGGGCCGGTGGTACTTCCAGGTGGTTGGGAGAGTGTCATTAAGGGTGATCCTAAGGCTGGTGACTCTCCTTCCTTCTCTGTCATTTCTTCAGCCATGCCTTTAAATCAGCCTCTAAGGCCGTTCTTACCAAGTAGTAGGTCTTTGACATTTATTTCCTGTCATTCTTTCCTGTGACGTCTCTCTGTGCTTCAATGTAAGGATGTTAGCAGAGGCAGAGGGGGTGTCACCGGGTGTATTCCCTATTCAGGTCACTCCTGTGTAGTATAGTCACTTCGGGACAGGGTCTGGTCTCAACCTTGCATTTCTAGAAGCAGGCTTTGTTCTTATGCTCAGTGCAGGGAGAGATGACTTAACCTCACCAAACTCACCTCAGTCTGAATCTTCAAGCATAAGACAAAGGTCACAGCCCTCAGCGTATGAGGAGCCACTGTGCAGTGGCTGGGGGAATCCTTTTTCCATGTATACCACTTGGCTGTAGTATTTTTTTTCTTTTTCTTTTAGTCTTTTTTTTCCTGGTTTCTCAAGACAGGGTTTCATGGTGTAGCCCTGGCTGGCCTGGAACTCACAGAGATCCTCATGCCTCTGCCTCCTGAGTGCTGAGATTAAAAGCATGCGCCACCGAACCTGAGAATTTTACTTTGTAATCTAGGCTGGCCTCAGACTTGCAATCCTCCTGCCTGTTTCCTGAGTACTGAGAATACAGGTTTTCACCACCACATTTATTACATTTACTTTTCTTTTTAAAAAACATTTATTTACTCTGTGAGAGAGAGAGAGAGAGACAGAGAGAGACACAGACAGACAGACAGACAGACATGGCACACTTGTGGGGGTTGGAGGAGAACCTGTGGAGGCTGGTTCTCTCCTCCCATCATGTAGGCTCTACAGAATCAAGCTCAGGTCCTTAGGCTCAGCAGCAAGCATACTTACCTACCGTGCCATCTTGACAGTCTCTCCCCTGCCCACCTTTAAACATGGAGACATTGGGGGTGCTGGAGAGATGACTCAGTAGTTAACAGTAGTTGTTGTTCTTGTACAAGACCTGGCTTCAGTTCCCAGAACTCACATGGAGGCCAACAGCTATCTGTAACTCCAGTTCCAGAGATCTAGCGACCTCCTCTGTCCCTGTGGGCAAACATGGTATAGACATGTGTGCTGGCAGAGCACATAAAATAAAACATTCCCTGCGTGTATGTCTGTGTATCTTGTTTGTGCCTGCAAAGATCAGAAGCGGGTGTCAATCCACTAGAGCTGGGGCTTCAGACAGTTATGGGCTAGTTACCTTGTAGGTACTGGGAACCAAACTCAGTTCTTCCGGAAGAGCAACCAGCACTCTTATTGACTGAGTCATCTCTCCAGCTACGAGGCAGGGTTTCTCTGTATTGTTTTGGAGGCTGTCGGACCAGCCTGGCCTCGAACTCACAGAGATCCGCCTGCCTCTGCCTCCCGAGTGCTGGGATTAAAGGCGTGCGCCACCAACGCCCGGCTTCCCATTCTTTTAAGAAGGATTTATTTTAGTTTTACTTATGTACATGCATGCATGTCTGTGTGGAAATTTATGTACATGTGTGCAGGTGCCTACAAAGACCAGAAGAGAATGATGGGTCTCCTGGAGCTGGAGTTACAGGCAGTTGTGGGCTACCTGACATGGGTGCTGAGAATTAAACTCAGGAACTCTGGAAGAGCAATATGTGCACTTAGCCACAGAATTATCTCTCTAGACCAATCAACAAACACATAAATGAATAATAAATAAACAAATAAACATTCCAATACACCCAGAACATTTTATTCTACTGATTTAACTCCCTCTTCCCCCTCTTCCTTCTTCTCTTCCCTGAGACAGGGTTTCTCTGGGTAGCCCTGGCTGTCTCGGTACTTGCTCTGTAAACCAGGCTACCCTCAAACTCACATAAATCTCCCTGACTCTGCCTCCCAAGCACTAGGATTAAAGGTCTGTGCCACCACTGCTTGGCTAGATTTAAAGTGAAGTATTCACCATCAACAAACATACTGTAAGCATTCAGATGTTCCCAGTGGGAAGTAGCCTACATCTAAAAAGGTTTCTGATTGGTTGGCCTTGAGAACAACTTACTCATTCAGTTCTGTCTCCATGTCTTTCATTGCATTGACAGTATTTTCAACCTCTTTCCTGTGAGTTTTCTTTCTTATATTTTAACTCATTACCCTTTGATTCAAAGTGGATTTCTTGATTTCTTGTAATGAAATCAATGTCTGAACAGAGAACAAGGAGCCCTCTTGTGACTGAGCTGTCTGGCTCTAGGCAGCCTTTCTAGGTGGCCAGGGATGATGTGATAAACATTGTTACTTCTTACGCTCTCCAAGGTCGACATAACAGTCTTTTGGAAACATAGTTTCTATTTCCAGTGCTTTTCTTTCGGAGTAGCCTGGGAATCCACAGGACCTCGTTGCTAGTCAATGGCATCTGTGTGGTGGCTTGTGTCTCCTGGGTAGTGTTCCCTCCCAGTCCTCGCTCTGCCTTTCCTATGATGCACGTGGCGGTCATTTGCCCTTTAGAATCCATTAGAAGCTTCTGGTTGTCATTGTGCTGCTTTTTAAAAAAATAATTTACTTAATCTTTGTTTTATGTGCATTGGTGTGAAGGTATCAGATCCCCTAGAACTAGAGTTATGGACAGTTGTAAGCAGCCATATCGGTGCTGGGAATTGAACCCTGTCCTCTGGAAGAACAGTCAGTACTCTTAACCACTGAGCCATCTCTCCAGCCCCCATTGTATTGCTTTTCTCCTTGAATTGTGTGGCTTCTTGAAATAGTCTCAGCCTGGACTGCCATGGTTTATTTCCCTCCCGTTGTGCACCATACCCCACGGATGGGCTCTCTCCCTTTTAATGCATAGGCAGTGTTCTTTCCCCTGTAGAGCAGCTCAGAGACATTGCTTATGGCACTCGGCAACCGTCACTGTGTCTGGAGTCACTGCCAGCCCACAGAGGGGAGGACGAAGTGGACATTTCTCTGCTGCGTCGAAATGAGAATCTCTTTGAACTGCACATCCACCAGGCCTTCCTGATGCCTACTGCAATAGCACAGGCTGGAGATGCCCAACCTACCACTTTCTGCACTTACTCCTTCTATGACTTTGAAACCCACTGCACCCCACTCTCTGTTGGGCCACAGCCCCTCTATGATTTCACCTCCCAGTTTGTAGTGCAGACAGATTCTCTTTTCTTGCACTACCTTCAAGGAACTTCAATGCGGCTCGATCTCCATCAGGCCATGGCTAATGAGCATCATACCCTTGCCACTGGATGGATTCCACTTGACAAAGTACTAGAGACTGTGGAGAAAGTCCATGGCTTGGCCGCACTTACTGGTAAGTGCCTTTGGCTTCTTGTAGTTCTTAGGAATGGAGGCTTTGGGAAAACAAGGAAACTGTCAAAGCCTGGAGCTACCTTCTGGTATTTTCCCGTTTCCATCTTCTGCCACCAGGCTGGTCCTGGACTCATGGCAATCCTGCTCCAGCCTCTCAAGTGCTGGGATGTTAGGGTGTTTCAGCAGCCTGGTTCTGTTCTAGGCTTGATTTTTTTTTTCTTACCACACTCTGTTTTCCATGCCTTTCATGCCTTTTGCTATTCAGGAGCTGGTGGAGAAGACCTGGGGGTGTTAGAGTACTGGATGAGGCTGTGCTTGCCCCTAAAATCCAGCTTCCAGGCATGCAATAAGCGAAAGAAAGCCCAGGCCTACCTGTCAGTCAATGTGCTTGGAGCTTGGAAGGTCCCGAAGGATGAGGTGAGAAAAAGATGTATTGATACAATCTCAGGTCATCAGCTGGCACCCCTCCAAAAGGGCTTGCTCTCCTGTTCCCTATGAGTATTCATGAATGTGACATACTGCTATATCAAAGTCAGTCCAGATTCTTCCCACAGTTAAACTTTAGCAGAAACGAACTCATGCCCAAGGTTAGAGATTTTTCTTTGTTGTGAACAAATCAGCTTTTCTCCATCATTCTCTTTTTGTAATTATTTTATTTTATTGGTTTTTTGAGACAGGGTTTCTCCATGTAGTCCTGGCTGTCCTGGAACTCACTCTGTAGACCAGGCTGGCCTCTAACTCACAGAGATTCTCCTGTCTCTGCCTCCCGAGTGCTGGGATTAGAGGTGTGCACCGTCACTGTCCGGCTGTAATTGTGATTTCTATTGCAATTAGTGATTGGCACTGAGATGAACGGTAGTCTGTGGAGGCCTATGCTTCCAGATACTGGAGTTGGACAGGTTTGTCGCAAGTCCCCAGTAAAGGAAACTCAGATGCAGTTCCAACACCTAGAGCTCCCACTCCACACTTATTTCAAAGTCAAGTCCCACTTGTCACCCTGTCACTAGGTGTTTGGCCTGGCAGTCCCCTCCTGCCATGTCTGTTTTAATGAGCTTGGTGAGCTCCCTGTGCCTGTATTCAGTCTTTACTAGAGTTGGAAACTGGGGGCCATTAACCTTCAAGTATTTGTTTCAAGCTAACCACAACCTCATACTAGTATCCCAACTATTACCTGTTGAGTTCCTCACATTTTGGTCACCATCTTTTTTTTTTTTCCAAGCTTTGGTTCAGATATTTCCCACTGCTATATAGTTTTACCGACATTCTAGAAGAGGAAGTCTAATATTCCGTTAAAACGGATGAACAACATAAATTTATTTACTGTGTTTGTACGTGCCACAGTATACGTGTAGAGGTCAGAGGACGGCACACAGGAGTCATTTCTCTTCTCCTAAAGCGTGACACTGGGATCAGATCTCCCTCTGTTCTCGCTGTCATTCAGTAGAGTAAGCTTGAGGACGAGCCCGCAGACCCTGCAGTTACCAGAGCCACGAACAGGCAGACAGTGGTGACCAGACTTCCTCGTGACCTGGCAGAATAGGTTCCTGGGTAACCCTTCTTCTTGTGTGTGTGTGTGTGTGTGTGTGTGTGTGTGTGTGTGTGTGCTGCACTTGCAACAGCACCTCAGACTGCCCTGAGTCCAAGACCAACATCTTTCCAGTCCAGATCCGAGTCTTGGACACCTCGGAATGAACTGCGGATTGAAATCACCGGGTGCTGCGGCCTCCGGAGCCGGTGGCTGGGAACGCAGCCCAGCCCATACGCCATGTACCGCTTCTTCACCTTTCCCGACCATGGCACCACCATCATCCCAGCCAGCAACAACCCACACTTTAAAGACCGGGCTCTGTTCCCAGTGCTCGTGACCTCTGACCTGGACCAGTATCTGAAGCAGGAGGCCCTGTCTATATACATCTTTGATGATGAGGACACAGAGCCAGGCTCCTATCTTGGTCGAGTTCATGTACCCTTGCTGCCGCTGGCACAAAACAAATCTATCAAAGGTGGGCATTACACATTTCGGCGCTCTCCCCAGTGTCCCCGCATGTCCTTACTCAACTTGCTGTGCTTACCTGCTTAGACTAGTCACTCTTCCATTTAAAAAAACAATGTTTTTTATTGTGTGTGTGTGTACGCGTGCATGTGATCTGTCATATGGCCTGTGAGTGAGCATGCCACCGTGTGCCCTTGGAGAGCGGGGGACAACTCTGCAGAGAATGTTCTTTCTCCCATCTTTATGTGAGTTCCAGAGACTAACTTCAGGTCCCTAGACTTGTGTGACAAGCACCTTTCCCTGCTGAGGCATGTCGGCCTGGAACAGTCTAGTCTCTCTTCAAGCCTGAAAGGACTCTGGGATGTTATCAAGAGATTTACAGCTGCCTTGCTCGTGTGAAAACATAGCTTCCGCTTCTTTCAGCTGCGCAGTCAGGATGTCCAAGAGTCAACCCAAAGCCTGAATCCCTTATCTCTATGTCTGAAAACCTTTTTTAAACATGGCGTCTGTGCCTTTCATTCCAGCACTTGGGAGGCAGAGCACAGCCTGGTCTACATGATGTGCTCCGGGCCACCTAGGGCTATAGAGTAAGACCTTGTCTCACAAAACAAAAACAAACAAACAAAACCAAACGGTAACAACAATAATGACAAAACCTCTTTCATGCTTCCCACTACTTGCCTTGGTTTAAAGACTTGTTTCTTAGTTCACAACTAGTGATCTAAGCAGAACCTAACACTCATAGTCTCATTGCTTTTAAAACATCAGAGATGGCCGTGGCGGATGACAACAAAGGCTCACTTTAGTGGTCTGGATCTGAGCTCTGTCTACCTCCCTTATTTTCTTACTCAATGTTTTGGGTATGCCTAGGAGAGGCTTAGTCTGGCTTCTGTGTGGAGAGAGTTGAAGCAGTGATTTCCAGACTTTCACTAGGCAGTATATCCAGGATAGGCAGCGTCAACTATATTTAACAAAATTCTGAGTGTGTGAGGCCTCTCTCTGACCAGCGTCTTTTTTTTTTTTCCGGTTTTTGGAGACAGGGTTTCTCTGTATTGTTTTGGAGGCTGTCCTGGAACTCACTCTGTAGACCAGGTTGGCCTGGAACTCACAGAGATCCGCCTGCCTCTGCCTCCCGAGTGCTGGGATCAAAGGCGTGTGCCACCACCGCCCGGCTGGTCAGCGTCTTTAAAAAGCTAGATCTGACACTTCTGCCCAAGGAGAGGCAAGCCACCTGCTATGTGGGGGCACAAGCAGAAACCTTCCACTTTGCTTGTTTCCCTGGTTCCGCTTGCAGAGGAATGGGGATGACCACAGCATAGTCAGTGCTTAGTGATAGTGAAGATGACTGCGTTGTGGTCACACGCAAGCTACACTCCCGTCCACGCACCTTTCGATCACCTTTTTCTGAAGCTGGGACATGCCTGTCTTCCCCTGTGACACTCTCCCTGTGCTGCTGTTCTGTGTTAACTTTGTATATGTTATGAATTATGTATGCTAATGAATTACTAACAAAATGCAATGAATTTTTAAATGGGAAGAAACAGAAATGATGCTCATAAATACTCACTAGCCTGTTTCATGAGAACAGGGATGACCAGTTTCTCTGGGTCTCTAAGGTGATTTTAATCTCATGGACTCTTCGGAGAAGTCCAGCGGGTCCATTAAAGTGCAACTAGACTGGAAGTCTCACTACATGCCTCCAGAGGTCCCAGAACTGGAAGCTAAGACAGAGGAGGATGACACCAAAGATGACTTGGAGACCTCAACCACAGAAGAGACGGCCCCTTTCCTTCCCCAGGTAACTAACTCTCTATAACCCACTGGAGAGCGGACCTCTCTGCCCATGCTGTGAAGCCAGTTGGTGAGAGTCGGCTCAGGACTGGAGTAAAAGAAATTCCTTCATGAGCGCCGCATGTAAACAGATGTAATCTAGAAGGTCCTGATGGAGCAGAACCCCAGGCCTTCTGTGTAGAGGAGCGAGAGCGGGAGACAAGGGAAGCCAGATGTGGAGCTGTGGTCGTTTAAGGCTGTCTGTCTCTGGTTCGTCCATTCAGGCCCAGATGGCATCGACAGAGATTCCCATCGAGGTTGGCCAGTGTCAAGTGAAGAGAAAGACTCCTCCCACAGAGGAAAGGAAGAAGAAAGAACATCAGGTTGCAAGCTACTCAAGAAGAAGACACAGCAAGAGAACAGGTGTCCAAGGCAAGAACCGCATGGAGTATCTGAGCCGTAACATCTTGAATGGAAACACGCTGCAGGTAAAACCCCAGGGACTCGGGAGAGAAGGACATGGGCGGCCACCAGGGGGGAGGAGCAGCCAAGGCAGGAAGGTCACAGTGCCTCCAAGTTGCTTCTACATGCTTGTCCAGAGATCTAGGTGGTTGCCTTGTATCAATGTAATTTAACCCAGCACATTAATGCTCTGTCCCTTAACCAAGGCTTAGGACACTAATACTATGTGTGCTATGCATTTCTTTAAAAGGGGCTGGATTTTTAAACTTTGAAAAGGCTAAAGAAAGAAAATGAGCAGGGCGGTGGTGGCGCACGCCTTTTATCCCAGCACTCGGGAGGCAGAGGCAGGAGGATCTCTGCCTCCAAAGCCTCAGAGAAACCCTGTCTCAAAAAAAAGGGGGGGAGAAAGAAAGAAAAGAGATATTACACCACTCATGTAGCACGCCTGTCCTTGCTCTGTAGCAGGTGCACTATACTGAGTGGAAATTCTCAGGGCTCAAGAAGTGCGAGGATGAGGGCTTTAAAATCCAGGACAAGAAAGAGAAAATACAGCCGTCCCTTCCAGCACCAGCACAGGAGGATCCCTCACAAACTACAAATGGTATTGTCTTTTTGTGTGTTTGTTTGTTTTGTTTTGTTTGTTTGGTTTTTGAGACAGGGTTTCTCTGTGGCGTTGGAGGCTGTCCTGGAACTAGCTCTTGTAGACCACGCTGGTCTCAAACTCAACAGAGATCCGCCTGCCTCTGCCTCCTGAGTGGTGGGACTAAAGGCGTGCGCCACCACCGCCTGGTCTAGAGTATCTATTTTTATCACTCTTATTTTTAACGTGTCAGTGCATGCGTGTGCCCGTGGATGTGTGCTTGTGAATCCTGAGTACAAGTGCCTGTGTCGATCAGAAAAGTGCAGTCCTCTGGAGCCTCCAGATATGGACACTGGGAACTGAACTTGGGTCCTCTAGAGGAATGAGTGTTCTTAACCATTGAGCCATCCCTCCACTCCTGAATTATTTTCTAAAGCTGGTTGTTTTTATTAGTTTCTAAAACTAATAAAAACTAATTTTTATGTTATGGTGTATCTCAGTTACTTTCCTCTTGCTGTGATAAAACATTATGACCTGGGCAACTTTAAAACTTTTCTGTTTTGATTTTTTTGAGGCAGGGTTCTCTGTGTAGCCCTGGCTAATTCTGGGACTCGATTTGTAGACCAGGCTGGTCTTGAATTCACAGAGTTCCTCCTGCCTCTGCCTCCTGAGTGCTGGGATTAAAGGCGTGCGCCACTATGCCTGGCTGACCTAAGCAACTTGTATAAAAAGAGGGTGTCAGATCTTCTGGAATTGTAGTTATGGACAGTTGTGAGCTACCATGTAGATGCTGGGAATTAAACCTGGGTCCTCTGCAAGAACAGCCTGTGCTCTTAACTGCTGAGACATCTCTCCAGCCCCTTAATTTAAAACAACAACAACAAACACACACACACACACACACACACACACACACACACACACACACACACAAACCAGATTATCCGTGATGACCAAGTAAGAATGATTCCATAATTACAAGATTAGCTTCAAAACAGGAAATTAGCTAGGCTCGGTGGCCTAAGTCTTTAGTCCCAGCACTCTAGAGGCAGAGGCAGGTGAATCTTTATGGGTATGAGACCAATTTGGTCCACATAAAGTATCTCAGGCAAGCCAGGAGTACACAGTGAGACCCTGTCTCAAAAAAAAATCAAATAGTCAGTTTACTTAATATGCCATAGCATTAAAGTCTAAAAACTCTGAGATTATTTCATCATTTTGAGGAAACACATTTTTACAAAATTCAAGTTTCATTCTTGATTAAAAAAAATCCTCAGAAACCTAGGAGTAGAAGGGAATGGCTTTGGATGACTAAAGTACAATAAAGCCAAAGCCAACAGCATACTCTGAGGTAATACTGACTTACCTCAAAGCTGGAAACAGGGTGCCTGTTTTTATCGCTCCTATTGAACATTATAGTGGAGATTTTTTTGCGAGGGGAGGGGAAGACAGGGTTTCTTTGTCCTGGAACGTACTCTGTAGACCAGACTGACCTTCAGCTAAGAGATCTGCTTGCCTCTGCCTCCTGAGTGCTGTATTAAAGACATACGCCACTGGTGGCACACACCTTTAGTCCCAGCCCTAGGGAGGCAGGGGCAGGCGGATCTCTGTGAGTTTGAGGCCAGCCTTGGAAAAACCAAAAAAAAAAAAAAAAAAAAAAGACATACGCTACCATGCTCGGCATAGTACAGATTCTAACAAGTGAAACAAGCAGAGGAAAAGTAGTGAAAACTCCACAGGTTGGAAGGCAAATGTGCTTATCTTTATTTGCAGCTGAAAATTCACGTTACTAAGAAATCATTACCAAAAAAAAAAAAATCTACAAAAGGGACAGCTGGAGAGACAGCCCAATCCAGCATATGACTGATTCACCAAAATAAACCATATTTCCATACATTAACAATAAGCTATCCAGAGAAGGAATCCAAGAGACAAAGAGACAATTCTTTTCACACTATCATAAGAAAGAGCAAAATACTTAGGGATATATTTGACAAAAGAAATCTAAGACCTATGCAGCGAAAACCACAAAGATTCTCAGGAAGGCAATTGGGATGAGTTAGGCAAAAGTCACCTGTCCACCGTGAGGCCCTTAGTTTGACCCTGAGAACCCACATAAAAATCAGATGTAATGCTTCACTCCTGTAATCCTAGCACTCCTACAGCAAGATGGGAGGCAGAGACAGGGTTACCTGGAGGCTCTTGTGAGAGACCCTGCTTCAAAAACAAGATGGAAGTAGACCAACTACAAGCGAGAGAGCGAGCAATCAATCTATTAATCTGTTTTTTTTGTTTGTTTGTTTTTTGGTTTTACGAGACAGGGTTTCTCTGTATTGTTTTGGAGGCTGTCGGTCCAGCCAGGCCTCGAACTCACAGAGATCCGCCTGCCTCTGTCTCCCGAGTGCTGGGATTAAAGGCGTGCGCCACCCCGCTTGGCAAATCAATCTGTTTTAAAAAGTGGGAGCCCCAGCTCAGGAATCCACACTTAACATTAGTTTTCTCCTAGGCTGGGCATTATGGTGCGCTCAGGAGGCAAAGGCCAGTGGATTTCTGTGAGTTCCAGTCCAGCTTGGTCTATGTGACAAGTTCCAGGTCAGCCAGGTTACAGAGTGAGACTGTCTCAAAAAATACCAAAACTAAAATGCCAGGAGAGAAGTCTTCCCACTTTAATCAGGATAACCCCCACAGACAAGACCAAGTGTCCCTCTCTCAGGTGATTCAAGATTCTGTCTAGCTGGGTGGTGGTGGGTGTACACCTTTAATCCCAGTGCTCAGGAGGTGGGAGGCAGAGGCAGGCAGATCTCTGTGAGTTCAAGGCCAGCCTGGTCTACAGAGTTAGTTCCAGGACAGGTTCCAGAACTACAGAGAAACTTTCTCAACATCCCCCCCCAAAAAAGGATTCTGTCTGTTGAAAATTAGCATTAACCATCACATGCACTTTTTTTTTTAAAGATTTATTTATTACATATACAGTGTTCTTCCAGAAGAGGGCACCAGATTGAATTGTAGATGGTTGTGAGCCACCATGTGGTTGCTGGGCATTGAACTCAGGACCTCTGGAAGAGCAGTCAGTGCTCTTAACCTCTGAGCCCCCCCCCTCTTTTTTTTTTTTTTTAAAGAGAAAGCTGCATGTAGCCCACACTGGCTTGGAACTTACTATCTATCTGAGAATAACCCTGAACTCCTGATTTTCCTGCTTTTACTTCCCAAGGGCTGGGATTATAGTCATGCAGCACTGTGTCTGTGTCTCTACTACAGTTGTAGTCACAAAGATGTACCTCAGCAGAAGGGCACATGTACTCTACCCCTCCGTCAGAAGAGTCTGGCAGGCACGCGAGAGGAACAGAGGGTTGCAACCATGTTTGGAGATGACTTGGGAATGTGGCCACCACACACACACACACACACACCCCACATCACATTGCTAGACTGCCTGACTGCCTTCTCTCGCTTTTATATAAAATTTATTTATTTCGGTTTTTCTTTTTTTCTTTTTGGTTTTTCCAGACAGGGTTTCTCTGTATTATCTTGGAAGCTGTCCTGGAATTCGCTTTGTAGACCAGGCTGGCCTAGAACTCACAGAGATCCACCTGCCTCTGCCTCCCGAGGGCTGGGATTAAAGGCATGCGTCACCGACGCCCGGCACTTATTTCGGTTTTTCAAGAAGGGTTTCTCTGGGTAACCACAGCCTTGGCTGTCCTGGAGCTTGCTCTGTAGACCAGGATGGCCTTGAACTCACAGAGATCAGCCCACTTCTGCCTTACAGGTGCTGGGGTTAAAGGTGCGTGCCACCATGGGCTGGCCTAAATTTCAATCTAAAAAATTGTATGTGCCAAAAAAAAAAAAAAAAAAAAAAAGGGTCGGGCATTGGTGGCGCACACCTTTAATCCCAGCACTCGGGAGGCAGAGGCAGGCGGATCTCTGTGAGTTCAAGGCCAGCCTGGTCTACAGAGCAAGTTCCAGGACAGCCTCCAAAACAATACAGAGAAACCCTGTCTTGAAAAAAACCAAAAAAAAATTGTATGTGTATGCATGTTGTGTCTGTATGTATGTCTATGTACCACATGGGCAAAGAGATGGTTGAGAGCTGCCCCGCCAGTGCTGGGAGTTGAACTCAGGTCTTCTGGGAGAGGAGCCAGTGCTCATAACTGGACCATCCCTCCAGCCCATACTTTGCTTTTCTCTTTCTCCTCCGTCTCACCCTCTCTCTCCATTGTCCTCTTGTCTCCTCCTGTCCATCCTCTTCTCCCCTTCCCGCTCTGAGATGGGGAGTGTGACTCTGACGTAGAGGAAGTGAGACGGGCTGAGGGGGGAAGGGGGGCCTGGCTCTGTGCGGAGTGCAGGGAGTGTTGGGAAAGTGTTGTGTAACTCAGCCTCCTCTTCCAGAAGCTCAAGAACCCTCTGGACAAACTTCGGAAGCGAGCGAAGTACACACTACAGACAGTGATGACATCATAGTGACACCCCAAGCTCAGACGTGTCCCAAAGCCGTAAGTACCTGGGGTGACCACGGCCTGTTTGAGAAGGGTAACTGGTAGCAGAGTGGTTAGTGCTATGCGTCTGAGATTCAAACCCAGCCTCAAAGAGCCTGCTGGGAGATGCAAGCTACAAGGAAAGTGTATCTGTGTGACTGGAGGTCTGTTGCTATGGCGATGCAAGTTTTTTTTCTTATTTTGATG